TCAGTACAGCTGTTACATGGCTCTGTAGTGATCAGTTGTGTGTTATAATACTGTAGTTTCATCCAAAACAGATTTATGGGATAACACTGAACTCATGTTGATGTGGATGCACATAACTAGTAGTAGTATTTCTTTCTTTTTTACCAAGGGAGTGGATAGTGGGTAGAGGGGTAGAGTTATCATGCAAGACATCGCATATTCCTACTTTGAAATGTGGACACTGAATTTCTAAATGTTCTCAACTTCATGATTGCCGCCACATAAAAGTTGTGACAACAAATGTGTGTGTATGATAATCCTTCAAGCTCATGAATGTTTTTGGTGTGAACACCCACATAGCTGTCATTGAATGCATTAGCTAAGGAAGAATATAGGTACATGAAAGTGCTTTGTGGCAGGAAATCAAATGAGCAGGGGCAATATATAGGTGTTTCGTTTTCTTTTATCATATCTTTCCTATCCTGAAGTGTTCAGGTGAAATGAGTTTCCAGTGGCTGGAAATTGGCCCAGTTTGACTGAATGCAAAAAAAAGCATTTATTAGCCAGAGTTTGTTTTAAGGTGCATGGTGCCAGATAGGAATATCTACATGATCCTATGGTCAGCTAATTGGAATCCATGAATTGTGTAAAATCTTTAGAAGAGCAAATTAAAATCCACAATCCAACAGGCATAAATATACAGTAAAATATATGCACAAGGCAAGAAATGTTGTTGGTTATAAAGCTATAACTGCATGAGTTGGTGGTGAAATTAGCATAAAGCATGTCGGAGTAAGCAACAACCTGAAACAGTAGCATGGCTGATCAGCAGAGTATTTACTGAATATCATGGGACAGACTGCCTCAGCATTGGTACAGACATTCATGGTTCAGATGCTGTAGCCCTGTGAATACAATGATCTCCTGACTGTTCTTTAGTGACATTTAGGGAGAGGAATGTTAGGCGGCATGTTAGCGTTGTCATTGTGAGCACATTAGTGATGTTTAGCTCAAAGTACAGAGCCACTAGTTTGGGTGTAGACTCATTTGGACAACAATAGAGCATGTTAATTTGGCTCATTCTTGCATTTTTTTCTTTCGCTTCCCCCCCTCCCACATTTACCACATCTCTCATTTTCAAACTTCACACCACATACGTCCCAGTCTTTCTATTTCTTGTTAAGATGCCTTTCATTTTGCATGAAAACCTAGAATGTACATGTGATCAGATGTCATAGGTTATCTGAGAACATTATAAGTTCCTGGCTCTCCTTTTCCTACAGACACCATGTGAAGGATTTCATGGCCAAGTACCTTCTTGAGCCAGTATTTCCAAAACATAGTGTTAGATGGTTACTAGGATGAAAAAGTTCACATGGTATGAATATGTTTAAGTCTGTAAAATGTCTTCAAGATATGGAAGACATTACATTACATGGTTATTTTCACTGCTTAATCTTCTTTATGATTGCACTAAAATGTTTCTGCAATTATATACTAATACTTAGAGTAAGTTTACCATACCAGGAGTTTTATTACCCGCCCAAACACCCAAACTGTGCTGTCATTGTCAGGGCTCCATACTGCAAGTGATCAGCTGCATTTTACAGCCAAATTTATTTAAGGTGGGACTGACTTTTTCAAAGGTTGAACTGGGTGCAACTGCAAAATAAACAGGCATATCAAAAAAGACTACTCTCACTGTAGAAATGGTGGACAGACATGACAATTGCCGCGATATTGTCCTTTCAGCATTTCTGTCACTCGCCTATCTCATGAAGCAGAGACTTCCATTCTATCAAATGCATCAATCCACACTGACTCTGAGACACACATATCATCCCTGCTGAAACCCACCAGCAGGTCCTTCTTTAAGTAGTAGGCCACTAGTGAGTTTAGTCCAGAAATGAGCTGGCACTTAGCAAAGTGAGTGAGAAAGCTAAACTGTGCATCAAGTCCAACAGACATCACCAAAGATCTTCTTCAGAAGAAAAACAGGCTACAAATAAATCGCCTCTACAAATGGCAAACCATGAGTGCAATACATCGGTTTATACTTTAGTTGAAATATAATAGCCCAATCATCATCACCATCACCTGTCATCATGTTGACTGCTAGGCTATAGAGCACCACAGTGACTACATAAAGAGGTGGGAATCTGTTCCAGAAGTGAGTTCCCATTTATTGTTTTCCGTTAGTTTCCCTCTCCCTGAATTTCATTATAAATGTAGGCTATGCACATTGAGTGGTAAGGTCATTTAAAATACAGATTCATTGGCATTACATCGTAAAACAGAGGTGTTGCCACCAAATCTGGCGCTAGCGCCACCTTCTGAGAGACCTGGCAGCACCAGTGTCACCAGTATGAAAAATTAGTCTGGAGAACTATCAAATTGTGATGTTTTATTAGAAGGTTTGTAGATGTGAGATGAGCTCAGAGCTCAGGAAACTGACTAACTTTAACTTTGTCACACTTCAGTGTAATTGTTTTTCTCAGAAGTATGTTTCACCTTAAAGTAAAGATTCAGATCATATGAAAAACCTCTTGCTACATCATCACTGTCATCATCAAACATCCTCCATAGTCCATTGTAGAACACACACACATACACACTAAAACAACTTCTTGTCTATCTTCGCATAAGATCTTTTCATCATCATGATCACTGCTGCTATAGCATCACTTCCCGACACAGACTCATTCATTTATCATCCTAAAAATGAAGCTGGTTCTACGTCAGGAAAATAGCTCCTGACCAAACTAACAATAATTCATATAAGTTCCTACCTGTCCGGTGTCGTTCTGTGGACAGCCGTTTCCCTTTTGTGAGAGAATCTCATCATTTACATTCAGAATGATTGTTCAGTCATTTCCATGTCTGTAGACTCAGCATATACTGAAACTTTTGTTTCTCTTCTAAACAAGACTGTCTCCTGTCAGGTGACGTATAGGAAAACTTTTAGAGCAAAGAAAAAAATCGGTAGTGGTTTGTGGTTTCCATAATTGTAGTATGTTAGCTATGTTATCCTTGAGGGTGGAAACCCCGTTTAGTGATAGTCTTTTTCATGTTGCCCTACTTTGTCACTTTCCATTCTCTTTATGTTGTTCATGCATCTCTTCAGTCACTGGCATAATAGAAACTTTGATGTACACGCTGTTTCGCTTATGAGAAGTAACAGAAGCACGTGCTTTCCCAATCGACACCTTAAAATGCCCTCAAAACTTGTAAAATACCCTCTAAGTATAAACAGAAGGATCCTTAATTTCATGCTTCTGTTTTCCTTGTTTTACAAACTTGTCTTAAGATTTTACACAGTGTCTGATAAAAAGTGATAATGATAATGATCACTTTATTTGGCCAAGCATGTTACACACACAAGGAATTTGATTCCAATACAGAACCGAGGCAGCCGTCTGCGGTGCCAACTCACACCAGTGACACACCATGGGGGGCAACTTGGGGGTTCGGTGTCTTGTACAAAAAAAATCAGTTAATAGCCTTGAGTAATTAAGGCACAGTGTGAACACTTAGTGTTTGACTTTGTATAACAGTGTTACTCTGTTACTTAGTTTCTTATTCTGTGAGCATTTATGTCTGAATAAAAGTTTAAGGAGCTTTAAAATAAAATCAGATGGCACAGTCTGAGTAGTACGAGACTGTGACACTTTGGCGCCCCCCAGTGGTAGTATCAAAAATACACAGACAGCAATGTACATTGCTTGGCTACATTACAAAAACAAAAATATTAAACATTTTGTTGTTGCCTAGTAACACATAACCCATGTTCTTCATTCCATTGTACTTTTAACTTCAGTGTTTTGGAAACCAGCAGCACAAATGAAACTTCTGCTCTGCAGCACCTCACATCTGCTTTTACTGTATGTATTGGCAGGCTTAAAGTTTACAGCACCGTTGTTATTACCTTCAGGTTGCTTCATCAGCCCAAACCCATTAGTCTTTTGTTCCTGGATGTTTCAAATGTTCATCAACACACAAATTCTTATTGACACATATTTTTGCTTGACCTAATTACTAAACGATGTCAATAAAGCAGTTGTTAACCTGTAAACAGGGTGCCAATGAATATAAATGAGAATAACATAAAACCGAATATAATGTGCACTAAATGCCTTGTTCAAGACAAAGCAGGCTTCTTTTCAACAAACACTGAGGTTGCAGAGAAAGCTAATTACAAATGTTAAACTAGATTATGTTATTTGATTTCATACTATAGCTCTACTCTGTGGCTAAAAACAGCCCTGACACCGTTTGAATCTACTGTCAAAAGCATCTTAACTGATTTTGAGATTATCATTACCTGTTTGTCTGTTTTTATCTGTGTAAAATCAGACATTAATTGGTTTTGTAGTTATAAAATACACCAACTAAAGAACTGTTTTTAGTGTACTGAGTACACGTCACTAATAGTTCAAAAATACTGTCAAAACAAGACAGTAAAAAACTGTAGACGCTCACAGTGAGATCACAGAAATAATTTCTTTAACACTCACCTCTTAGTGCCCGGTCAACATGGCTGCATCCACAAGCAGCGATGAATGATGAGATTAACTCCTCTTTGGGGTGTTTGTTGAACACCATAAAAGAAAATTATTTAGGCTTTCTCTCTAACACAAAAGAGGAAGTAGGAATTTTCAAAGCATCACTTCCCTTTGTTTTGGCTTTTAGCATTTATGTTTGACATCATGGTCACTTGACTTTGTTCACACTGTGTACATATGTTTACAGCACCATAGTATTACATTCTGACTTTATTCTCAGAATTCTGACTTTATCCTCAGAATTCTGACTTTAATCTCAGAATTCTGACTTTAATCTCAGAATTCTGACTTTAAAGTCAGAATTCTGAGGATAAAGTCAGAATTTGGCCCTAATACTCTTCCGTAATACGTAATTCAGACCCCTTCACCTTGTAGATTAAATTTTAATTGATTTTCTTTTAAATTGATCATCTGCAGTGAAAAACCAATAGCGACAAAGTGAAAATGTGTTTTTCAAAATCAAAAATCGATTCAGACCCTTTGCTCTGGCACCCCAAGTTTAATTCTCCTTCAGATGTGTTTAGAAATTGTCTGGAGTTTACATGTGGTAAACTAACATGACTGGACATAGTTTAGAAAGGCACACATCTGTGTAATACAATTCCCACTGCATGTCAGGACAAAAACCAAGACATGAAGTCCAATGAACTCTCTGTTGACCTCTCTGATGAAACTGTGGCAAGGTGTAAAAAACCCCAGGAGCACAGTAATTGTGAGAACTACATGTACATAAGCTTTCAACAAATCCCAACTCCTTGTGATTCAAATGCAGCTCCATTTTAATGCCAGCACAAACATCACAGTTGTAAACAAACAAGTTTCAAAACTGATGAAAAAGTCAAGTTTAGTGTTCACATGTTACTGGCCAAGTATTGTGTGTTAGGAAAAAATGTTTCTTAGTGATCTATCTATGGAATACCCATAGTTTTTTAGTATTAGAGGAATAGTTTGGCACCTTGGGATATTTGCTCATTTGCTTTCTTGCCATTAATTAGATTAGAAAAACTGACACCACTCTCATCTGTAACTTCAGTAAACAAGCAGCTGGCTAGCCTAGCTTAGCATGAACACTGCAAACAGCTAATCTGGCTATGACACCTGCAACTTGTCCTTTTTACATTCTGTGTGTGTGCATCATGTAAACAAATAAGATATAACCTGTTAATTAAGGATTTTTTTTCTGTTTTTATCTTGGGACAGAGCCACATAGTTGTTTCGCCTCCAGTCTTTGTGCTAAGCTAAAGTGACCAGCTGCTGACTGTACATATTTCATACAAATCTAACTTTCAACAAGAAGGCAAATAAACTGTATAAGCAGTAAGTATTTACTAAAATTTCAAACTATTCCTTTAAACTTGAGCATATGTTCTCTAACAAGCTAACCTCCTCCAGGCCCAGTCTGAACCTACCAAACACACTTCCTGTACTTCACAGCCAATCACAAATGTTTCCCTCGTCCTTCGGATATGACATGCTCGGGCACAGCGCGGGTGTACCACTCTGACCACCCGCCGTCATACACGGACACCCCCGGGTGCCCGCACTCATGGGCCGCCAGTGCCACAATGCACGCAGTCACGGCTGAGCCACACGAGGTGCAAACAGGGTGGCTGAGGTCCACACCAGCTCGGGCAAACAGAGCCTGGAGTTGCTCTCTGGGCAGAAAGTGACCCGATGAGGACAGGAAGGAGTGGAAGGGCATGCTGATGGAGCCGGGGATGTGGCCTGGCTCTGTGTCTGTCAACCAGAAAGAGCGAAAAAAGGGAGAGTAAGATGGCAGTTTGTTGATTTTAACTTAGATGTCCCAGCAATTCAGTCAAAAACCACTATGGCAACAATTATGTATAAAGTTGCAGTTTTTGTCAGATTTAATGGCCAATCTCTATTTTCTAAAGCAATTTTCAAGGCAAATTTATGGTACCATCATTAATGTTCTTACTGTAGGGCTATTCTGAGTAAAGATGGATGACATGACAGCTCCCCACTTGTAAAGCTTTATAAGTGGCTGGCTGTAGTATAGGCCATAAATCCTGCCCCCTCCATGTTAGCAGACATGAACCAAACTAAAAATTCAAGTACAAATCCAATAGATTTCATCTAGGTTGTATCATCACACTGATCAAATGGTTGTTTTTCCAATAAGTTTGTTGCTAATGTGATGTAAAAACAGATGTATTCTATATGATTTGACAGCTTTGACTGGTGGTCTGATACCATCGCTCCACCTCTGACCACTACTGCACAGATCTGGTTGCAAATTGTGTCACAAAAGCAGGATAGCTACAGTATTTTGGCTTCACTCATGCATAGTAGTGGCAAGTATTGTTCCATTTTTATACACAATCTATGGCATTCCCCCACCCACTGTGCAGTCAAAGATCCTATAACACACCCAACTTATGTTGTGTTCTCACTTATGTTTCCTGCTTAAGCCTCTTCTCAGAACTATGTGAGCACACCTTTGTCGCTATTATTAGCTCACAGAGTTTAGTGACAGCCCATTATTCCCGGCATAGCTCCACCCAACCTCCACATGGCTATTAGCCAGAATATGGGAATAAAACAAGCTGTTCATCCTTTGATAACTGAAAATGACATTAATTTGTGCATGTTTTACTGTTCTTTACTCATGTTCTAATCTCAGTCTGAAAAGTATCTAGTAACTAAAGTTAGCAAATAAATGTTGTGAATAAAAAGTAGAATATATTTCTGTAAGATGTAGTGAAGTCAAAATATGAAGTAGCAGAAAATGAAAATACTGAAGTGAAGTACAAATACCTCAACATTGTACTTAAGTACAGTACTTGAGTAAATGTATTTAGTTACGTTCTACCTCTGTGTGTCAGTTTGGATCAACAGCAGGATCAGTACGTGCCCTCCAGACAACACTCCTGACGCAGCAAGGGTAATGGATTTGGTGTATTTGTTGGTTTTTCCACCTCCTGTATGTTTTCTCTTGCCGCTCCTCTTAGAACAACACATTATTATCTTACTTTACATTCCACTTGGACAGTAAACTTGTGTATGCAAACACAACATGCAGCTGTTAGCATGAATCAGAGAAGGTACAAGGTCTGAGAGCTAAGAAGTGTTGCATTATTTCAGTTGCGCCATCGGCTATTCCGCATTAACTAACCAGCAGAACGTGATAAGCTTGTTTTGAATACAAATAAGACACAGTTAATAAGTGAAGAGGAAGAGCTTATTCAAACATACCAAATTAAAAAAAAGAAAAGAAAAGAAAAAAGACAAAAATGCTTGATAATTAACACAACTATGAAGCGGGTAATCGTGTCAGCTGCTGATGGGAGCCGGCCTTTGACCTCAGTTATGTGGTGCTTACACCGTGTCTGCTCACTTTCAAAATTCGACTGAGCTGTACATTAGCACAGAATGTTAACTGAGCATTTTCAATACTACAAATATTTGGTACTTAACTTTTAGTACAAATGGCAATTTTTTTTCAACTATACATTTTCTACAAAAACCTGTTTTATCATCTAATCAAAGTTGCAAATTGTTCAAATATAAAACTGCTGTACAGGAACTTTTTCTGTATAGGTCTTTTTCTTTCTTTCTTTTTCTTTCGTACTTATTCAATAAGGACATGTTTCGGTTGGTACCAGACCAAGTCCTAACTGTTAGGATTATTATTTGGACAGTTGTTGGAAAAGGTTCTGCTACAAAGTGATAAATATAGTGGTTTGATACAGCAAAATTGTTATTTTAATTTAGCAAAAAAGACCAGACTGGCTCCTGCTTCCCTAAAGTGTACACTGTGCATAAAATATCTCTATTTACTGACCTCAGTCAGTTTAGCCTGAGGTCAGAGGTCACTGCTGAGACTGCTTTCACAAATGGAGTTTCACCTCTGAACAGGCGCTGTTTATCACTGTATAAGTACAGTTTGTACTGTATGTGTGTGAGAGAGAAGGTATTGGAATAAGGTAAGGCACGTACTACAGGAGTCTTATTACTGTATAGTGGCCACTCTTGATGTGAACTGTGACAAAAACCAAGTATGGATGATATCTAAATTCTAGCCCATTCAGTCTGCCCCTGTCATCCAGCTGTACAAATGGCAAGTGCGTGCGTGCGTGCGTGTGTGTGTGTGTGTGAGTGTGTGGATATAGTGCATGGTTATTTGAGCATGCTCTCTGTCCTTATGTGTCTGTGTTATTCAGTAATTCAGGTCCAGCCTGTTGCCTGTGTGTTTGTTCAGAGTAAACTCTGCAAATAGCCTGGGAAGTCTTGGACTCGCATCAGCTTTATGGCTTTTCCACAGTACACCTGTGCCATGCTGCACCTGTACTGTCCAAGAATGGCATGTTTTTGTTTTGATTTGATTTTCATTCCATTTATCTCTGCTGATTTGTTTATTAAGTCTGATGTGTGATATTTCAGACAGCATTAATCAGATTTTAATCAAAGTTAAACCACTTTATTTATGTTTTCAGAATGACATTATTGGGAGAGTTACTATAGATTAAGATAATAGCCAGTTATGTTTCCTATCCTGCAGTTTCCTGTTAGAACTACCAGACTGGAGTACACTATTCACACAGCATGTCTTGTTTACCACTATATAGTGTTGAGTGATATATCGTTATCACTATCATCTAGCTTGTCAGTTGTGATAATGCACAGTGCACTAGACAAAAGGAGGCATTTGCTAAGATTAACTTTTAGGATTTTCAAGGCCTTGGAAAAAATGTCACCATTTTCTTGCTTTAATTGACAAAAATATTGTACATGATTTTGATTTAAATAGTTTTCCTGGTTGAAAGCACTTCAAATTGGCAGGCATTTCAAAACTTGTCAAAGGAAAACAACTCTGGTGCCATACTGATCGATACTGTCAGGAATTCTGCTGTTTTCATGGACTAAATCCAAAAGTCGGAGGTGTCACAACATCACTGACAACCGCTGGTTTCCCAAATTGATGTAGACAACATAACTGTCCTCTCACTTAGTGACAGTCTGGTCAGCATCTCTACTCCTATTTCACTCCTGATCTAACTAATGACAGTGACCGTGTCTGATCACTGAGCACACAACCATTTGCTAGATGAATGAAAAGAATGAGTCATTGTGATTAAAAACTATTTAATTTCACATTGATTTTCTGTTTGAAAAAGGGTAGGCTACAGCTAAGAAAACGGCCTTTGACAAGAGACGTCTCCCTTTGTCTCTAAACTTCTGATTTTATCCTCCTTGATTAAGAAGTCAAGATCAGCAGAAAAACAGTACTGGAAGAAGTGCTGAGATCCTTACTAAAGTAAAAGTAGCAATAACACTGTGTAAAAATACTCTGTTACAAGTAAAAGTCCTGCATACAAATTGTTGCTTTAGTAAAAGTACAAAAGTATTCACATAAAATATACTTAAAGTACTAAAAGTAAAAGTATTCAAACAGAATGGAACAGTTCACATTAATGTATATCACATTACTGGACTAAAATTATTGGCGTATTGTGTACATCACAGTTACTGTCACAGCTACAGCAGTAAAGGTGGAGCTAATGTTAACTACCTTAAACTGTATGCTTATACTTGTAAGTACTTTACATGGGTAGCTTGTGAATTTCCCACCAGGGATCAGTAAAGTTTGTTAATTATAGTGTGATTTGTTTAATTAATCTCAGTCTGAAAAGTGACTAGTAACTAAAGTTATTAAATAAATGTATTGAGTAAAATGTAGACTATATTTCTGTAATATGTTGTGAAGTCGCAGAAAATTACAATAATCAACTAAAGTACAGATACCTCAAAATTGTACTTGAGTACAGTACTTGAGTAAGTGTGCTTAGTTACTTTCCACCCCTGCAGAAAAAGAAAGTAAAGAATGCAAGACTAAAGTTGGTGCACGTTTAAGGGCACCACCTAGAGCCATAATTTCTACCTGCACCACAACTCTCGGTTGCTGTTTTGGTTGCAAGAAACCTAAACGGAACCGTGAAATCATCATCATCACAAAGGCTTTCAGGCAGATCACTTACTGTCTCTGGGCTCAGGGTCAGTTCCTTTGAACCTGCCTGTCGGCCTGGCGTCCACCACCTGGAAGTTCTTGGTTTCCAAGTTATCCAAGATGTCTTCATAGGTCTTAATCCAGGAGTGGTTCAGGGAAGCATTGAATTCGGTCGGTGTGGGTTTGACGTACTTGTCACTCAGAGGTCGACCTTCCAGCTCCCAGTTCCTGAGCCCCCCGTTGAGCAAGGACACCGCGTTGTGCCCGAACACCCGGAACATCCACCACACTCGGGGCGCCGAAAACGCACCGAAATCGCTGGCGTCGTACACTACGACGTGCGTATCGCTCTCTACTCCCAAATTGCCAGCATAGTCAGCAAAAACCTTCTCTGATGGCAACATGTGGTCCAGAGGAGAGGTTTTATCACAGCACTGGTCTATGTCAAAGAAAGCTGCACCTGGTATGTGTCTCTTCTTGAACTCGCTCTTGGCGTTGCGACGCAGTTTGGGCAAATACCAAGAAGTGTCCAAAATGCGCATTTTCCTTTGGAACTTTAAAGCCTCCGCCAGCCATTTAGAGGTGACCAGAACTCTCGATTGGAGCGCCATGATTAAGGTAATTTTGGCAAATTAAGCAGGTTGTCACGTTTAATCTTGTACCAAATGTTGAGAGCGGTAGAGAGAGCAGAGGTTCTAATGGTGGAGAGAGGAAGAGAGAAAGAGAGAGAGAATCTACACGCCCCCGTGGACCGCGCAGTGAATGGAGGTGGTGACGCGTTACATTAATGTGATTACTTTGTAATGAGCGACGAGTGGGCTATTTAAATCTGGAAACTGCAGTGGGTACTCACATATATTCATATTTTAAAAGTATTTATTTATTTGTAGCCTGACAGAAATCTAAATTAATAATCCAAATATTATTTCACTGCTTATTCCAAAGTACCAGATAGACCTACTCTCCCCGACCTTTCTCTCCATGTGGTTAATTTGTGACCAGATATACAGGACATACAGCAGCACTGGTTTCACTGTAGGTCTACTTACAGTGCCTTGCGAAAGTATTCGGCCCCCTTGAACTTTGCGACCTTTTGCCACATTTCAGGCTTCAAACATAAAGATATAAAAGTGTAATTTTTTGTGAAGAATCAACAACAAGTGGGACACAATCATGAAGTGGAACGAAATTTATTGGATATTTCAAACTTTTTTAACAAATAAAAAACTGAAAAATTGGGCGTGCAAAATTATTCAGCCCCCTTAAGTTAATACTTTGTAGCGCCACCTTTTGCTGCGATTACAGCTGTAAGTCACTTGGGGTATGTCTCTATCAGTTTTGCACATCAAGAGACTGAAATTTTTGCCCATTCCGCCTTGCAAAACAGCTCGAGCTCAGTGAGGTTGGATAGAGAGCGTTTGTGAACAGCAGTTTTCAGTTCTTTCCACAGATTCTCAATTGGATTCAGGTCTGGACTTTGACTTGGCCATTCTAACACCTGGATATGTTTATTTGTGAACCATTCCATTGTAGATTTTGCTTTATGTTTTGGATCATTGTCTTGTTGGAAGACAAATCTCCGTCCCAGTCTCAGGTCTGTTGCAGACTCCATCAGGTTTCCTTCCAAAATGGTCCTGTATTTGGCTCCATCCATCTTCCCATCAATTTTAACCATCTTCCCTGCCCCTGCTGAAGAAAAGCAGGCCCAAACCATGATGCTGCCACCACCATGTTTGACAGTGGGGATGGTGTGTTCAGGGTGATGAGCTGTGTTGCTTTTACGCCAAACATAACGTTTTGCATTGTTGCCAAAAAGTTCGATTTTGGTTTCATCTGACCAGAGCACCTTCTTCCACATGTTTGGTGCGTCTCCCAGGTGGCTTGTGGCAAACTTTAAACGACACTTTTTATGGATATCTTTAAGAAATGGCTTTCTTCTTGCCACTCTTCCATAAAGGCCAGATTTGTGCAGTATACGACTGATTGTTGTCCTATGGACAGAGTCTCCCACCTCAGCTGTAGATCTCTGCAGTTCATCCAGAGTGATCATGGGCCTCTTGGCTGCATCTCTGATCAGTCTTCTCCTTGTATGAGCTGAAAGTTTAGAGGGACGGCCAGGTCTTGGTAGATTTGCAGTGGTCTGATACTCCTTCCATTTCAATATTATCACTTGCACAGTGCTCCTTGGGATGTTTAAAGCTTGGGAAATCTTTTTGTATCCAAATCCGGCTTTAAACTTCTCCACAACAGTATCTCGGACCTGCCTGGTGCAAAGTATTAACTTAAGGGTGCCGAATCATTTTGCACGCCTAATTTTTCAGTTTTTTATTTGTTAAAGTTTGAAAAATCCAAAAAATTTCGTTCCACTTCATGATTGTGTCCCACTTGTTGTTGATTCTTTACAAACAATTGCACTTTTATATCTTTATGTTTGAAGCCTGAAATGTGGCAAAAGGTCGTAAAGTTCAAGGGGGCCGAATACTTTCGCAAGGCACTGTAATTGGTTCCCATTATTACTCTCAGAAGAGAAGGAGGAGACAATGGGTTTGGTAGGAAAAAATATCTATAGGTAGTCTTATTCAGTACTATTTCTTAGGTGCATTTACTTGCTCTATTAAATATCCCGAAGTCAAGTGTTTATTGTCATATGCACAGTGAGGAAACGCGTTTCCCTGTACAATGAAATTCTTACTTTGCCGTCCGCACGAATGCCACACAATATAAATGAAATATAAAGTATAATATAATCATGCACCAGTAGGACTGATTACTAACAGTGACAACACGTTTTCGGACAACTTCATTATTGCTTTTCTTCTGCAATTTTAAACGAGCCTAAATATGGCTCATAAAACACCCCTTTGCCTTATTGTGTTACCGCTGTTTTTCTTTCTTTATGCATTCTCCTACTACTACAATCGATATTTTAAATACTTTTCGCTTTCTGCTTGTGAGGAGGCTACTATTATATGAAATCTAATGTGTTGTCAGCCTGTTCTGTTTTTATTTGTCGAGGGCATTTTAGTAGTATATCCTATTTGGTTGTTCTTTTTAGGTAACATGCCTTGATTTAATCCAATTGGATATATGTTGTTGATTATTACTATTTGTTGTAGCACGTATACTACAAATGCTAGTGTAGATAGTAGCAGTAGCAGTAGCCTGGCAGATATGATTAGCCAGTTAGGAACTTTGCCCGTTCTAGATAGTGTTCTAGTTGGGTGCTTTTAATCGGCGCACAAAAGGATTTTACCGGATGTTGATGGAATCACATGTAACTGCTTTTCAGTAGTTCTGTTTCTTGTAGATATAGCATGTAAACAATTCAGCAAAATTTTATTTTACATTATTAAATCAGAATGTCCGCGTCGTTGATCAGGAGAGGACTGGAGCTGCTGAATGATGATAATAAAGGTCAGTTTAGCTTTTTAGGGTGCTAGCTAAATTAGCCAGCATTTGACTATCATTAGCCGTGGACATACAGTAGGTTCCCTCTCGTAGCTGTGACCAGCGTTTTGTGATTTTGCGTGTTGTTACACTGCTACAGTTTGGCACTGCCATAAATTATGTGGTTAACCGTTTTCGCGCTGCTGCGGTAAAAAAAAAAGAGCATTAAATAAGATGCTTAAGCTATTCAAGGTTTTCTTTAGCGGAACGGTTTTTTCCGCTATTACTATTGTGGCACTTAAAAAGAGACACTGACATCACAGAACGCAAAGGTTTAAGATTGTTTTCTCACACAAAAAACCCAACAATGAATTTTTAGTGATGTTAAAATTAGAAAGGTTCACTTTAGCTAGTGTATGTGAAACCGTCAGAATATGCTCCACAGTATTGCAATTAATTGAATGCCAGTGGTTTCACGGAAGTGTGTTAGGGGGTGTGAGCACATAATGGAATATATCACCATATTAGCAGGATAAGATATCAGATGTGTACATGCTTTCTGTCCTGTGCACCCTGCCAGATGTCAGTAAAGCAAAGAAGAAGAAGAAGACGAAGCAGCAGAAGCAGACTCCCAGCTTGGCCACAGTGATGGAGCTGGTGAGCACCAAGCGGCAGGGGGTCAGGAAGCAGGTCAAACGTCTGCAGGGTCGCCTGGGTCCTGGCAAGAGTAAAGCTACTGTCAAAGACAAGAGGATCAAGTCTGCAGTGGGTCAGTCTGCTCGAAGTCCTACACAGTGGCAGTACTTGGAGAGAAATATACTCTAAAGTAGAAGTCATATACACTGTTTAGTAGTTTGCAACTCAGATTTAATTTGTAAATTGCAAGCCAGGACAATCTGTGATTTTAACCATAACAGTACAATTGCTAGCTTTTCTTTAAGGTGAAATGTACATAATGTTGATTATCATCCTGTGGATTGTAGAAAACTGTTTGAACTATCTGTTTTTGCCCTCTGTGTAAGTGCAAGTCAGAATCACTAGGCAGTCTTTCTATGGTGTTCACAACCCTTCAGTGGCCATTCTGTCACATTCAGAATATCTTGTATGTGTGCAATAAAAATGTAGAAAAGAAATTTAAACAGTTGATGTGATTGGTGTATTAGCAGCCCTCAGGTGTTTGTAGTACAATGTTTGTTTTATGTCTTCCTCTAAGCGTGCTTGTGTCCTTTTTGTCTGTTGCAGAGGAGTTCAGGAAGAAGCAGGGGAAGAGCCAGATGAGCGCTAACCTCAAGTACTTTATGGAAACTGGCTACAAAACAGCAGATTCTGAAACTTTGAAGGTACAAAAAGGGAGAGACCACACTGGCGCTATCAGTAGTGATTAACCTGTATCATTACTTTATCTACGTTGCTTTTAGTCATTTTTATGCCGAATGGGTACAAAAATAATTTAGGTATAATCTCAACAGGTCTGACAGAGATCAGATTTTTTGCTTAATGTCTACAGATCTTGAAATGCTTGTCAGTTGGTCAAAAGTCTTAAGCTTCATTCATTTATGTATAATTTGATCATTTGAATCTACTTCACTTTTTATTTGCTTCTGCTTCTCTTCGCTGTCTGTCTGTTCAAGTGAGTTTGTCCTGTGGTGCTGACTTGTTCTCTGTCTCTCTTAGATCCTGAGTCACAATTCAGGGAGACAGTCCAGGAATCACCCGGAACGACCTGCCAAGAAATCCAAGGAGCCACAGTCATTGTTCACTGAGGAGGAGTTCCAGCAGTTCCAGAAGGAATACTTTGGCAGGACAGTCAAGGAGAAGAAATAAAACGCACCCTATCAGAATGACCCTGCAGCATCACAGGAGACACCAGGGCTGTCTTCTGTGGATCAAAGTGGACTTCTGGATCAGACTGTGTTTTGGAGGTTAGGTCCACCTCACATGTCTCAACAGTGGAACAAGAAATTGGTATTAGATCTTCATACACACACAAGCAAAACTTGATTTACCTGCCTGAGTAATAACATGCTGTAATTCATAAGATCTACGTAGTGGACTGCAAACATTTTGTGCTGGACTTTTAATATCAGAAGTTTCATTCCAAAATGTGCTGCTTGAAGGTCACAACTAAATTAGATTGCATTTCAGAATTTCTAAGAGGCAATTCATGCTTTGTGCATCCGCATGTCCATTAAGGTCAGGTGATGTAATTTTCGTCATCTTCCCAGTTCCATGAGGGTCTGCGCAGACTTTGTGAGGACATACACGTATGGGCCAAAAGTTTGTGTCTGTGCAGACGGTCTGGACTGCAGAGCAAATGTCCCCACCATGCGTGTACCACTGTTTGGAAACTGTCAGTGTACATGGACAAAAGGCAGACCTTCAGTTTGAACTATGAATAGAAACACTTGCGCACGTGTGTGTATGCATGAGAGTATGTGCAAAGCATGAATTCCGCTTAAAGATGACTTATGACAGTTATGTGCAGCTAGTAATCAGTTTCATTAGAGAAAGTGTGGCTTTTTCAAGCAGAACATACATAATAGTGTAGTGAAGCTACATTTCACCCCATGTTTTCACATTCTGGAAATAAAACATACATTTGTGAAGAAAAGATGGCGATGAATGAGACTTCATTGAATTTATTCAACAACTTATTTCCAGTCGGCCTTTTTGATTATTGTTATGCTGGTCTCCTCCAGTCACAGTTCCACTTGAGACAGTCCCTTTTGTACAAGAATTTCATTTAGTTTTTTAAATTATTTATTGTGTTTGAGCATAAATTTAAATAGTGTATTTTGGAAGGAGATATTTAGTATAGAGTCAAAGATTTAATTCATTCAGGTCATAAACAAGTTACTGAATTCTGAGAAGATATTCAAAAAGGTTTGTGTGAAGTGCGGACATTAAAGATTTTCAGCTACTTCTTGTGGTTGTAACAATACAAAGGTGTGTAGTACAGCTTTAACATTTTAGAAAATGTTGAATAGTAATGTCTTGGATCCTTTTTTAACATATATAAGGTGATGCTCTCACTGTGCATCATGTAGAGATGTGAAATGGTACATTCACTGTGTGTCAGTGTGTGTGCTGTTTAGCCACAAGCTTTAATATCCCCACGACATGGGGATCACATTAGAGAATGTTTTTTTATCCCAGCAGCACCAGAACCTTTACTAGGTGTGTAAACATCAACAATGCTGAAAGATATTTTAATGTAATGTCCATTTTGAAGTTGATGAGATATTTTTTCCTTGACTTGTCTGACTCCTGTGCTGATCCTCAGTCAGTGTCTGTGTCGCTTCCTCCATCTGTTTCTTTAAATTTCAGATAATTTGCACCTTCTTTACTCTCTCCATTTCTCTGTCTTGACCATTGCATCCTGAGTTTCTCCCTCTCTCCTGTCTTCTCTCTCCTCATCCCTTCAGTCACCAAAGTCTCTGGGTTAAAAATCTGACAGTTCATCAAGCAGTACTCTGTGTAAATACTGAGTTACTCTCAAGCTAATGTAAACTATAATGCAACAAAATGGACACACTGGATGGTTAAAATAACATTATGTGAAAGCAATTTAACAACTTGAGGCTCATAACTAACTCTCTGGTCTTAAATTAGACAGGCCACTATTATAGTGCCTTTTTTGCCTTATTGTTTTAATGTTCTTCCTCCTTACCTGTTACTGTAAGTGAATTTGCCCCTTGGGGAATCATATAGCTTTGTCTTATCTTATTGCATGAAATACTATTAACAGCTGAAGTACACCACTAGGGGGCACTGCAGGTTTTAGCCCCGTGAACTATGGCTGGTTTTCCAAAATTACAACAAACTGCTGATGCAGAGACATAAAATCTACAGCATATTGTGCAGGGACAGCCCACCAAATGGCTAAGGCTGGAAAATAGAACACACAGATATCAAAATGTGTTACTCCTGTTAATTAAAACGAGACAACATTTTACTATATTTCATTAATTTGGTTTTATGTGTAGGTACCAGGAAAGTAAATTGTCTATCAAAATCAACCCATTTTAAAAAGCGTCTTGAAGTATGTGTGCAGTTTGTGGCAGCACAGGAGTCAGCCTACTCAATGTTTACATTTTGCTTTTGACCCACATATGACGCAGGGGCGCACTCGTATTCAAAGCTTCGCATGGATCTAGTCTACCGACTGTGTGGACTTGTGCGTCTAACCAATTAAAAAGCAAGACACAAGCGGAGTGATCACAGCGATGCGCTTACGTCAATTACTATCACTAGTCTAGTTGGAAGGAGTTTTCGTCATTAATGTGTGTAAATCCACATTCTGAAACGGAAGCTCCTCTAACCCGGACTTTTAGTTGTATTAATAAGAAACGCCCCTTTTGGCCTGCCACTGCGGAGGAATACACTCGGCGGTGCTTCGGCGCGTTATATACTGGTGCGACTCTGTCCGACTGTTGTTTCTTCCTCAGGCGGTAACAGTGAAATTCGGCTCTAGTTTGGAAGGTCTCCCGCGCTAAAATGGCAGTCTGAAGGCGCGCGGCAGCGATATTTGCAGCGGCAACAACCCGGCAGTGCAGCAGCAGTGCGCTGGCAATTTTTGGCAAAATGGCGTAAGTAGCGTTATTTTTGTCCACACTTTACACCTCTATGAATATGTCTGGTGTTAGCTAATGAAGTTAAAATACCTGTTGAGTACGGTTGGGTGAGCTAAAAACTATATAGTACTCATGACAAACATTAATTACAGGACAATTAAAGTGGATTCTGAATTCCCGGTGTGTGACACTTATTTTCGAGTTAGACTACCAGCTGAAGTAGCTCAGTCGGCCCGACTGCCGTTTTGTGCTGAATTGTTCAGACGTGTTAACAGCTGTTTCGGTTGGTTCTATTTAAGTTCTAAATGTACTTGAAAACTTCATGTAAGTATTATGTAAACGTAAATAATACACCTCTTTAAGGTTATGATTTTCCATAATCTGCTGTGTACACTGACAACGTGGCGTCCAAAATGGCGCGGCACTGCCCTTTTCAGTTATGTCTTCCACACACAGCTCTGTTATGAAAATGGCGTCTGCCCTCCCACCGCCGCGGTGAATTTGCACAGATGGGGAGGCGGAGTTACCGGCCACTTCATGACCAAATTAGGAAATGTTATCCCCGGTGGAGGGCAGGGTGTTTCCCATTGAATCCCCTTTGAAACTTCAGTGGAACGGATTAGCCAAAATTAGCCTATCTTTCCTTATGTGAAACACAGCTTTAATGCCTCATAGGCACACTAGTGTGGTGTTGTATTCGAATTGTGTAGTAATTTTAGGAAGGATAGACGCCATGTTCATGTTTTCTGATGTACAGATAAGGCTGGCCTACTCAAGTGTTGTTAATCATGTGGTACACCGTTTCATATGGTTTACATTTTATGCAATACATTTATTTTTGAGTAACAGTTTCCTTAAGATTAAATCATGTTTTGGTTTTTCCTTTTGTTTGGACAGACAGCTCCCAAAATATTTCTGCCCATTTTAACCTATGAAATGAAAAGGTAAATTGTATATATTCGTCTTCTCCCTGTAACATGGCTTACATCTTTTTACCCAGGTCTCTCTCGGCAACCACCCTCAGCTTTGCTGCCGTCGACAGCAGTACCAAACCCCTCGACTTGGACTTGCTTACGTTATCAGACCCAACTTTGTTTTTATTCACCCTTTCACGGATACCACTGACCAGCAGCAGCCATGACTCTCTCCCAGCTCGCCTTGGAGGACGTGGAGGCCCTGTACTTAGGTTGGTGTTGTGAATGTTCCCAAAGCATTAGTGTAAACATCACTGAATGTGGGAAGTGTGACAATCTGCAGAGTTTAGCTTCCTGGACCTTTATCTGGGCTGGACTTTATGTATTTGGACTGCATTTTGTGGCATAAACTTATAGTTCATCTTAATTTATGGTAATGTTTGGTGTCCACAGAGCCCTCGTTTCTGTTGGCTGACCCCATGGGGCCCCTTCTGGACCAAGATGAAGAAGAAGCTCTTTCTCCCTCCTCCTCTCTAGAGAGGAAACCGCCAGCTTCGCCCCCCCTCTCTTTCTCTTCCTACTCCTCCTCCCTCTCTCCCCCCCAGACCCTGTCATCCTCCCCGCTCTCTTCTGCTTACCCACCTCCTTCTCCCTCACTCTTCATTAGCAACAAGGACAGAGCTGACTCAATGTCCTTCCCCTGGCTGGCAGCCAGCGACCTGCTCGATGCCCATGTCGGAGCAGGCGAAGACAAAGGTGAGATGACTTAAAATTTGTTTATTAAATATCTGAATAAATTCATTTGGAGTAATCTCTGAAAAGAACTAAAGATCCAAAGCACAGTTAAGTTGGATTACAGAAACTAGAATTAGAGAAAGGAGGAAAACTCATTCAGATTCATCTATTCATATACCAGGTTAAATTACAGGTAGTTGTAGTTGTCATTCAATTCTTGCATTAAAAAAAGGGCTAAAAGTTTGTTCTTAAACTTGATTGTAAAGTAGGTGATGTTAATTACTAGAAGTAAAGGTTTGCGCCTGACACAGCCTATTGCACAGTAGGCTGAGTTCTGCATGCGAGACAGGTAGTATGATAAAATATGTACACGTATAGTACTCGGATGGCCTACTTAACTTCATAGTATAGTGATGGACACTAAAAATAAGAAAACATGGTAGATGTGTCACCACATTTCAATTAGTTATGAGAATGCCGGAGTCAAAAAAGTGGTTAGTGTTTAAAAGTGTGAGTAATAGTTAATGGTGGCAGCTAGGGCTGCAACAACTAATCAGTAATAAAAAAAAAGATAGATGGCAACCAACTTAATTATCGTTTAGTTAGGTTTAGTCACTTAGCTGGTGAGACAGCCAAGAGCCGTTCGGTAGGTGGCGGTAACAAATCTAAAAGTTGGTTTTCCAGCTGCCAGTCAAAAGAAGAATAAGTCTGGGTGAGAACATCACTGTGGCATATCAGAACATCTGAAAAGTGGCAGAAGTTACGGCAGAGAAAAGTGGATGACCAAGTTTGGGAGCACTCTATTTTATAATCATAAAGAAGATTGTCTGGTGCCAACTATGCAAAACGCATCAGCAGTGGCAAGTGAACATGACGCCAACTGAGTTAATGTCATAGGAGGAGGGGAGCTTAATGTTAAGTTTTTAAATTTAGTTAATGTAAGAAATTATGAAATAGAAATTTTGATTATGTATATTATGATAATTATATGTTTAGGCTCATAATCGGGTGTTGTGTAGGCTCCTAATAACGGGCGCTAAATGCATTTTCATTTGTCTAAACATAAAATGCATGTGAACAATAAGCAAAACAGTTATGTTATAGGTGTTTAAAGGAATAGTATTTTTTGTTTAACGCGCTGCATAGAAACATTGCATAAGCATTATTTTAAAGCACATTTGTTTTTGTCGAGGAAAATGGATTTCGGCGTGTTTTTCATACAGTCGATTAACCAAGTATTAAACTAATCATTAGTGGCAGCAGTAATAATTAGTGTTGAGTAGCTTGCAGGTGCTGCTCTACCTGTGCAGTTGGCACTGGCTCAAGCTGTTTTTTGGTTTACATGTCGAGTCACAATGACTCATCTCTTTCAGCGGTATAAGGTTTGCTTTTAAATTTTTTTCGTTCCTATGCGTCACAGAATCATAATACAGGGTGTGAGGTGGAAACATTTCTTTGTGGATAAATGTTTAGGTATTCAGTATTACCTTAAACACTTTTTTTTTTTACTTTTGTATTTAATAAAAAAAAGTTACCAGAATACATGAAGTTGTTTACATCTGTATCCCAGTTTCTGCTTTATTTTTCTTTTAATAAATATTACTAAATAAATCCTTTGTGTCAGCAGATGATTCTTTCACGGGCATGGATTGGATGTCAGAGAAAATCGACCTAAGTGAATTTGACCTGGATTCCCTTATTGGCTCTTGCTCATCCGACGATTCTCCCAGCTCCCCCGAGGATCTCCTGGCCTCCCTCGACTCTCAAATGGATCTGGATTTAGACTCCTTTGACACAAGCATCCCCACCCCACAGGACAATCTCGAACTGACTCTGCCGCTGCCCAGCATCCCCTCCCTCCCTGTGGAGCTGTCTCTTCCTGAGGCAACTGAGACCAAGAAGACAGAAGTGGCTCCTGACCAGGAGGTTATTATGAAGTCTGAGCCTCCCTCCCCAGCTGCCTCTCCGTCTCCTTCCTCTCCAGCCTACACACTGGAGCTAGGAAGTGAAGTGGATGTGCTGGATGCTGAGAAAATGCCCACAACCATCACCGCCACCGTCATCTCTGACCCCAGTGGAAGCATTCGAGCCACCAGCCCCATCCTGCTTTCCATTCCCACCTCTGGTCACCTTGTGGTGGTGCTCACCAACAAAGACGAGCCCTCCCTCATTTCTCTCCCTGACCCATCTGCTAACACCCCTCCTCAGTCAAGTGACAGTGACAGCGATTCCGGAATCGAGTCAGGTGCCGGCTCGCCCCCTCACCTCCCCTCTCCATCTCCCACCCCCTCCCCTGCAGCTGGCTCCTCCAGGACCAAACCCTACTCCAAGCCAGAGCCTACCACTGCTTCCTTGGCCAAGGCTCCCAAGGTCAAATCGGCATCTGGCGCTCCCAGGGTGGTGGAGAAGAAATTGAAGAAGATGGAGCAGAACAAGACAGCAGCCACCCGCTACCGGCAGAAGAAGAGGGTTGAGCAGGAGCAGCTGAAGACTGAGTGTGACGAGCTGGAGAAGAGGAATCATGAGTTGACAGAGAAGGTAGAGTCAATCAGCCGAGAGATCCAGTATCTCAAGGATCTGATGGAGGAAGTTCGTAAGCACCACCGCGGCAAGACTAGCTCTGGCTTAAGTGGGAAATATTCATGTAGTGAGGGGGTTGTTTCTCCTCCAGTGCTCGCATCACGAGCACAAATTCAATTTAGTATTAAGAGGCATGCAAGGGTGGATGTATTAAACTCGCCACTGAAAGTAGACCGGCTGGATGAAAAGCCTCTGGAAGTTAAGATTCTTAGTGTAGGGCAGGGGTGCTGGGAGGTAGTCGGGTGAAGCATATGTACATGCTTGTCTCTCAATCCCCTGTCAGAGCCCACATGTACTCCCTGCCTTAACTAGCGTTACATGTCAGCATAGGCAAGGTGTGTATTTGTCTCTGTAGACTAGGCATGCAAACATGAGTCATCATAGCTCCTGGTGGTGTTGTATTCCTTCACACTCCCCTCCCAGCATCAGTTAAGTCAGGTCCCAGCTCAGCTTCAATAAAATAATCATACCAGTAAAATCAAAATACACCAAACTTCTCACCCACTCCTCTTTAGCTCAGTGTGACCCCAGTTGACCTTCTTTTTTTACAACTTAAAGTCCAGAAAGGGGCCTCGGCCTATTTATGAATTGTTACAATGTTAATTTTTTTTTTTTTCTGTGTGTGTGTGTATATAGTTTTCTCCTCCTTTGCTTCCTGATTGTGGGTTTTATTTAATGCTGGATGAGACTTGATCATGTTTTGAGTAGTTCACTCTCTTAACACAACTGTTTGGCTTGTAAAAATGCTTTGCTCTTTCTAATAAATATCTATCAGTACTCAAGTGGCACGTGTAATGTGCTTTGTCCAATCACAGGTTTCTCTAGGTAGCAGAAAAGTAAGAGTTACTTATTATTGATGTCAGAACGTGTGTGCAACTTTCTCAGTGTCTTGATCCAAATGTATCTTGTCATCACTATCTAGTTGACAACACAATGCTCATAGTGACGTTCAGTAGTGAAAAATAGTGAGCAGGACAGCACTTGAATATTAACTATGAATCTTACATCTGAAAGTCAAACTTTTTTCAGATATGCATGTTTATGCATCACATGTCTATGACCAGAGGAATGACTGATGAGACCTAGAAGTCGTTTGTGGAATGAGAAATCGTTTTGCAGAGTGGAGTTAATGCTGCATATACAAGCCAGGAAGTATGTCTCTAATGTCGTTTGCTAGGAATTAATCAAATGAAGCTCGTCTACTGTTCCCAGAAAAAGGGTGTGTGGACCCTGGGAGGAAAATCCAAAACAAATCTGGTAGTTGCAAAATATTTTAAATTCTCTTATCAAGACAATCCAACAGCTGCCAATACTAACACGATTAATGCTGTTATATATCTTATTTATTCTTGCATGTATTTTTTAAGCAAGTAAGTCACTGAAAATATTTGTATTTGTGCACAGTGTCCCCTGCCAAACAAGGTCTAACCAGCAACTCTCAGCTGCAAAAAGTTCAAGTGAGCTATCTTGTCACCGCATGTAGCTAGAACTCTCTATCAGGAAACGAGAAACAAGAAGAAGGAAAGCGAGAAGCAGCTGGGCAAGTTTTATGGGAAGGTCCTTGCAATGGTGAAACCAGACTACACTCCTCAGTCTCTCACATGGTGGGTTTCCCAGGTGGGTGATTAGGGGGAGGCTGATGCACAGATGTCTCTGTACAGTTCAGTTCTCAGATGGGTGGATCAACCAGCCTGTGAATGTGTGTGACCTCAGAGCAGTTGGTTGAGGGCATCCTGTATAACTGGTGCACGAGGCCTCATTGAACAGTTTGTCTTGTGACAATATTTAGTAGAGTGTTAGTTCTGTTAAAGCCATCCCTCCTGAGACTGAAAGAACTCATAGTATCCCAGAAAGTGATGCCACTGTGTGAGGTTCAGACTCACCCCAGTGTGCTAATTTGTGTCAAGCAGCTGTGTAAATTTAATCTTCTTGGCTGTAAAACCATTTCGGCACACACGCTCCTCCCTGACAGATTCCACTGCAGAGCCCTTGCCCTCCTGTGAAGACAGATAAGAAGAGCAGACCAAGCTGTAGGCCTAGAGAGATAAAGGCTGCTTTATTATGACGCAGACATGCAGGCTACAAATGAGTTGTTTAGAAGATTCATTGTGTAATCTCAAGTAGCTTCTGATCATAAATAACATGCACATGTTCTTTCCTGTTCCCTTTAAAAACTAACTATTGTGTAGGCATTAAAAGAAAAGTAGCTGCAGGTTTTGGTCACTTTTATTATTTAGTGATTACATAGTATAATTATCAAAGTATACTTGAAGTATCAATATGCATTATGCTTCATTTCTCATGAATTTGTATCATAATTATTGCTACATTATTGTGCTCATCACTTCAGTGTTACAGCTGGTAAAGGTGGAGTCGACTTATAGTTTGAAGGAATTTACATACTTGACTTTCACAGTGGGGATCAGTAAAGTCACGATAAAACAGTTTTATTCTGAAAACAAATAAATGTAATGGTGTTACAAATACAATATTTGCCTTAGAAATGTAGTGAAGTCAAAGTACAAAGTACCAGTAAATGGAAATACTAAAGTAAAGTGCAAGTACAGTACTTGAGTAATTGTACTCAGTTACTTTCCACCACTGAATTTTGTAGTCATGAAGAGCTCCAACTCAGATTGTTTGAATTTCTCTTTACTCTCCGGGTGTGGTGGTTCTAAGCAAAGCAGCACAAATATCCCTCGTCTTGTCACATTCCTATCATCACATTCCTATCATCATTGTCATGACGATCACAACAGTTTCATGCTGAGTCAGCTCATTGTTTCCCTAATATATTTGATGTAGTTGCTCAGACTAGAATCTGTGCACGTTTGTGTGCAGCTGAGTTTTAGTTCGTGAGTTTCTCGTGACTCAGTTGGTTTGACCTAAAACCTGGTTTTACATAACAACAATCATGAAAGTCAAGGAACACGACACCTGCATACTTGTGTACGTGCATAACAAGGAAGGTTAGTCTTTTATTGTTGTCTGTAAAGGCCAAACCTGATCATCTATCATCATCTATCTGCCAATGTCAGGGTCTTTATTAGATGGTTTTTACAATTTTGAATTTTTGCTGTATTTCATTTTGTAGTCTAATCTCTTTTCCTTTTTTGAAAAGTTGTAGGAGCCAACAGCAAAATCGGCTTTGGAAGGATACAAGTTGGCTTGTACCCTTGTACAGCCCGTTCTTGAGAAAATCCTTGGTTATATTTCTCATTAGATTACTTGGTGGCATTTGGCTCACTAGTGAAGTGAAACCTTGTAAGGCTGTACGTCTATTCATAGTTACTCTACTGTATAAGTCAGCGGTAGCCAAGCAATCTCACACATTCTTATATTCTGACCTCGGGCTGTTTGCAAGTCTATTCCTGGCTCATACTGTATGAACCCCACCTGTGGATACTGTTTCTCTGGAAGAAATCGGAGTGCAGGATAATGTCTTATGGCTTGGAGATATTCAGATGTTAAACTCATTTTGATTTACGAATGGGAAATCAAGCACTGACAAGGTGGAATGAAGGATTTATTGTGGAGTGCAAATAGTAACGACTTGTGTTGATACGCCTTTGCTACACAGCAGCAAAATGTGTAGAGCTGCTGATTTGAAGGTTTTACTTTCCATTGTTATTTGTACAAAGAAGTGAAGCAGAAGTGTTGCATCCTTACAGTTAAATCAACCAGACTTAACAGAGTTGTTAGTGCAAGTTCTTTTGTTTTAAATGAAGGCTAAAGTTTGACTAATCCTCCACCAAGAAAGGTGATTAATCTGGTGTTTAGTGGGTTAAAAAATGTTTGTAATCATCCAAGTGTTGATTCAAAAGCTTTTCCAATCGTGACATTATTTGTTCCCCCAAGAAAATAATTGCTGACCTGAAAATCACTTTGTGTTTTTAGTGACCTCCAACAAGCCACGTTATCCAGGACCGTGACAAAGCCATAGTAGATAGACCCTAAACAAGGAAAATAGACAAACTGTGCAATGAGTTAGAGTGAGAGAAAGGAAAAGGCCAGTTCCTCGAGGTTTTGTTTTAAGCTCTATATGAACCCTGAGGCAGTTTGGGGGCATTCGGTAGCTACTTCCAGTTTCATTCATGTCCTCCTACAGTCTGTTTGTGGATTAGTTTGACATCTGGGCTGAATTATGGCTCAGACGTCTGTTGCCTCACATCCTGTGACAGCAGATCATCTATCACTAGTGTGTTTTCTTCTTCACACCTCTGATCTGTACCAGTAACAGATGCCAAAACTAGAAACCTGTGACACAGTTTCATTTACGATACCAGAGCTTTTCATATAACTGTTTCTTGAACATTTGTAATCTGCATGCACATGTTTACATATTTTACATAAGATGCTCCAAAAATCATATTTCTTACATATAAAAGCTTTTGAAGCATTGCAGCAGAACTCACTGATAAACTTGCTAAATATAGGATTATTTCATTATTTCCACTCTTACATTTAAATAATGGAGCATATTGTTTTTGATTCCTGCTCCTTGTCAGTCACCCTTTTCAATGAAGATAAGTAACCTGGTTGTCTTCTACTATGATTCTACTGATTCAGTTTACTTGCTGGTCTCAAGCATATTTTTACACCAGAAGTTTTATCTGTGCTTAATTAAAACTATTTAAAAAAAACTGTATCTGAATCATTTTGGTAGTTTTGTGCTCCACTGCAGAATTCCAGCCAGCCTGACTTCATGCCTTGTCTGTCCAAGTGAATCAATGTGCTGGTCTTTAGCTGATATCCCCAACATGGGACCTCTGAGCAGCTGCACTGAGCTGCAGATTAGGACGACAGGTTTACTCCCAGAAAGTGGGACAATGCATTTGTTCACTGTTTCTGCAATAAATGAGGAAGGTTTGTACTGTGCTGTTTGAAATGCAGAAGACTGTAGTGCCTTTTATAATCTTCCCCTTTTTTTTTTTACCTCAAACTTGTTAAGAGTACCAACTGAGCTCAAGTATACAAAGACAGTGAAAACCTTCTGGCAGCTTGGCACACAGGGTGCTATTGTGGAAGTCTCTTCAAGTTTTGCACAGCTGATCCCATTCTCTCAGACTGGATGGAAAGCATCTGACATCTTCTGGTCACTACACAATTGTTCTTTAGCTGGAAACACTCCAGTGCAAACTCCGCGGGATTCCCATATGTAAATGAAAACTACAACTTTGAATTAGATCCAATTAAATTGGGATTTTACGACCCAGGTGGGACTTGAACCCACAATCCCCAGCTCCGGAGGCTGATGCCTTATCCATTAGGCCACTGGGCCGCTGATTGTCATTATTGAACAATGAAGTAGACAAACAAGACATTTTATTTCTCTACTCCTCTCAGACAATGCACATACTGTATCACCAGAAGTCTTAAAAGCAAGATTCTGGTGTCTGTGTACCCATTAAAAATATTATGCATCTCTTAAAATATGGGGTTTTATCAACTGTGTAAGGTCATAAATGTTATTTCCTTTTTGTTCTTGCCTACTGAACCCATACAGGAAAGACTTCCTCATTGTTGACAATGGCTGAATTTAAGAGATGGCCTGTTGCTCCCTGAGCCTCACTCTTCAGTCAGATAATCATTGTCCTTATACTGTTTGTCTGTCTTTGTGAGGACAAATGTTTTTCAGTGCTTTAGAATGAAAACATTTTTGTCCTCTTTGTCTGTTAGGCCTAACTGTGATAGATAATTACACATATAAAAGTACATGTCTGCCTGTGTGTGTGTGTGTTTAATCACTTTTTTGGCCAAGTATGTTTAACACGCACGAGGAATTTGTCTGTGGTACAGAAGCTCTCTACTGGAGAGATTTTTCACCCAGTTTCGGATCATAGTAAGAGGAGAAGAGGGCGGGACAGAGCAGAAACATATTGAAGATGTCCTCTGGGGTTTTTATGTTGACATTCTAAAGAAAGAGGAAGTGAGAAGCCTTCACTTCTGAGAACAAGTCGGAAATATGGGGAAATCACACTCTGAAGGGTACGGAAAGTCTGATAAGCTGCTGTAGATGGAATGTGTGTTAGACAAACAGTCAAAAGGTCTTATTGCAGCAATTGGCCAGATTTGTCCCTGAACCGGTTATTTACCAGCACTGTGCATTTTACTCCCCTGTCTGCAGCTCAGGGCGCCCCCTGGTGTCACTTCTTTAAAAAAAGAGTTTCTGTTCCACAGCTGGCAACTTGTAAATAAAAGACATTTAACTACTGATAAATAAATAGATTAAAAAAATACTGCCTGACCTATTGGGCCTCTAAACCGCTATCAACAGGAGAATCCAAATGATTAGTTAAAATCTTGTGTGTTTGTTTGTCTATCAGAATGTTTTGGGAGATCTGTGTCACCGGGTTACGTAAGTTGTCCTGACACAGGTCAAAAAGACCCTTCATTCATTAAGTGGGTGATACAGATCTTGTCAGGTCCTATTGATTTGTTTAGCATGTTTCAGTGAGCTACACTACAACAAAACACAGTTATATAAAAAACATTCTGCACAGCAATTCCATATCTTACCGAAATACCTAATTTTACTTTTCTTAAAGTTATGTAGGGCTGATTAGAACACGCAAAGAGAAATGGCAGCCTTAGCCCAGCAGGAGGCAGTAATAGCTACAACATGGATGTCAGCTGTCTTAAAACCCTGAATTCTCTACTGAACCTGTGGCAGTTTTGTGGCCTTTGTCATGGATTGAATTTGTTAAAGCTCCCAGAAGTGTTATCGGCTCTGATTCTGCTGCTGCTTTGTTGACTCTGAGGGATGGGACATCTGGGGCCTAGCCTGACCTGCTGTGGGAGATTTTGTGCTGCTTATACAAACTTGAAATAATTGGATGCCATGTAGGTTTTTGTGGGCACCAGGCCATGAGTGAACTGAATTTGCTGACAGACTTGCTAAAGAACCTTTTTTCAAGTCAAACTACGTGACTATTCTGCTAGGAAAAGCCATCTGTAAAGACATATTAGACCCCCCCCCAGCAGATAGATTGGAATAAGAAGCAGAGGGGTCAACAAGTCTTTTCTATTTAACTATCTATTAACCAGAAAATATTAAATAACCCAGCTGACATTGTGGTTTGGCCACCTGTTTGAAAATCTTGGGTAAACATCTAAGTGGATTATGTCAGTGTGGTGATTTAGAGATGATTCAGCATGCCATATTTTCTTGTAATATTTATAGGAGAGAAAGGCAGCAGTTAGTCAAGGAACCTACAGAATTGAGTCTCTCCTCTTTTTCTTTCATGTCTGCTTTTTCTCAAGAAAGAGATTTCCAACTCACTGTGAGGGCAGTCTTAAAGTATTTACGTTCCACAGCACTGTATGAAAGAATTTAGATAACCAAGCTCTAAACAAGTCTAATAGAAAAGTTTTCTCCTCCTGTCGAGGGCAGTATTACGCGTCATGATGTACAGCCTACCAGAAATGTATTAGAAGAAGAAGAAGAAGAACCCTCGAAGAAGAAGAGGAAGCAGAAGATAAAAACGAACATGAAGCAGATAGTACGTTTGAATATGTTTTTATGCCAACCGATAGTCAAATTAAGACGAAAATGATTTCACTTGACCAGGAGTTTGTTTAATAATAATAAGTCTGTTTTATCTAAGAATAGAAGCGGAGCTGCTGTCAGCGTTGCTAAAGTTGTTTCTGCCTGTTACGCGACATGTTACTACGAGCCGAGAGAAGCAAAACGAGTCGGTTTTATCAACACCTCCTACGTTACTTTATGCTGGTTACCAACTCAATTATTCGAAGGTGAGCTCAAGTTATCTGTATTAATAACGTTTACTTAAAAATATGCACTCCAATGTGTACCGGGTGGAGAGACGTTTGTGCCAAACTCCATTCAAAAAGCACCCGTTTTAAGGTGGGACCATAATTTTTCATTGTAAAACATTGTTTTCCCAGAGTTACGGTTACGTATGGGCCCTAAAACTCTGCTATTTTAATTAGCATCATTTACTCTTAAGAGGTCTTGAAATGTGCAGGTTTTAAACTGCTGGCTAATGTAGCAGCTGTGCAACGTTCAGTACTTATTCTGCGCATGCACAGGTAAATATATTGGATGAATTCACTCTAATAGATCCATAATATCATTTTTACAGTAGATTCACAATAGATGAACACAACTTCTCCTTGTTTTGTTCTGAGACGTGGTTCAACCTACTGGTAGTCTTCAGCAGAGCTAAGGGGGTCTGCTTGGTAGGTATTTAAAGAGGTCAGAGGTCAGAGGTATATTTTGGTACCAGACCATTAAGAGATTTCTAATCTAACAGAAGTACTTAATTTTGTTCGGTATGAGACTGGCAGATAGTGCAGTTTTCAGGAGAGGGTTTATGCCTTCAGTTCTTTTTGGTTCTAGTTAAAACTCTAGCAGCATTGTTCTGGATGAGCTGCAGGTGTTTGATAGTCTTATATGGGAGACCAGTTAAAGGAAATGAAGCAGTCTACTGGTGATGGAAGCATGAGTGGGTTTCTCTGCATCATTTCTGGACATTAAACTTCAGAATGTTGCAGTGTTAAGATTTACAGGTATAAGATGATGATGCAGTTTTTGTTGGCACCTTAAAGGTAGGATTGACCATCTTGGAAAAACCATCAAGAGGAAGTTGACTTAGAAAGTAGATAACAGAAGAAATCTTTTGTTCTGACTTCTCTGTGCCAAAAGCTACACCGAGGTGTAGTAGGACTAGGACTGTTGTTTTACCAGCAACAGTAAAACCACAGATGTCATTTAGTACCTTTATTAGTAACTTTCAGTATGATGGCTTTTTGCCTAAAACCAGACTGAGTGTTGTCCCAAATGCCATTTGTCTTCAAAAAATTGTTTAGTTAAACAGGCACTGCTTTTCAGTGACCAGTGAATGGTAGATTTGAAGCTGGCCTGCAGTTGTTAAGTATGGAAGGATCCAGATCGTGTTTCTTCAAGAGAGGCTGAACATCTGCAGTTTCAGTGGACTTGGAAATATACCTGGCAGAAGCAAGTTATTCACAGGTTTAGTGAATCTGATTTCAAGCCATTGAAATGGGTAAAATGTCCAGACAACAGGTAGGTCAAGCTCTTAACTGTGTCCTCCAGTGAATTGACTGTTTTGGCATTGAAAGCCACCAGTTTATTAGGGCAATGCATGTACAGTTGCTGCAAGAGTCTCAAAGCACAAGTAGGTGGAGATCAATGTATCACCTCCTGATGCACTTAACTTGATCTCTAAAGATGGGTGCAGACTGGTTGCATTTGTTTCCAGAGATGAAGTCTGGGGCTAACTTTGCTGAAGGATTTGTGAACTTAACAGTGTTTGGAAATAGTACCTGGTTACTGTTAGGGTGTCTCCTGATGCCTGTCTGGCCGGTGCTGATTGTGAGATGGTACAAGTGAGTTTTTCCTTGAAAACGTCATATTGATTCAGGAGGGGTTTTCTTTTCTCTAGCTACGTTCCGCTTTCCCGCACTCTTCTTTGGCATTGATTACAGCTGAGGTGTTTCTCCAAGGTGTTTTTTTAACTGCTTGTTCTAGTTTGGATTTTTTCTAGAGCAACTTCCTATATTCTAGAGTTGAAATAAGATAAGTGAGCACCAGCACAAACCTCAGTTTGTTTTGGTGACAGATGTGTAACCTCCAGACAGACAGAGACTCTTTTTTTGAAAGAAATGAATCCATTCTGTAGATCGGATGCAACAGGCTTGGAATATAAAATTCAGGAGTGATCAGAGAAGCCCACACACCTGTGATGCAGGAAATACCAACATTTTAACGAGGATTAAATCCCAAAGTGTGCCCTTTGTTGTACATCGGCTTTTTGACTTGTTGCATGAAGCCAGCTGTTTCCATGTCACAGAAATCCTCTGAAGACATTTACATTGTCAGTATAAACGTTGGAAGTCTCCAGTTATCATAATGTGATGGTAGTGGAAAGTAGTTCAGTGTATTTATCCTGAAAGTCTGTAGTTGACTTTGGTGGTCTATAAACTGTTAGAATCAGCTAATATCTCACCATATTTACCTGTGCATGTGCAGGATAAATGTTGCCCAGGTGTTACAATAACCAGCAGTTTAGAATCTACATATAACTGTGCACTCAGAAGTGCAAAAGAATGCAATTTAAAATGGCAGCTTTATGTGGTTTAGGCCTAATATATTTACAACCCCAATTGCAATCAAGTTGGGATGCTGTGTATGTTTCCCACTGTTTTACATTGATTAAACCCATATTTAATTAAAAATAGTTCAAAGACAACTTATCAAATGTTGAAACTGTAAATTTTTATTAAAAAAAAACCTGTATGTGTTTTAAACTTGATGCTAGCACCATGTTTCAGAAAAGTTGGGACAGGAGCATGTTTCCCACTGTGTTTGGGAAGCGAGGAGACCTGACTGTTTTAGTTCAGTCTTCGTTACTATTTTTGCTTGGCAAAGGAATTTAGCTGCATATTTCTCAATTTTTAATGCACCAAATGTTTTCAGTGAGTGAGAGACCTGGACTGCAGGCAGCTCAGTTTGGCGCCCAGACTCTTATTGTGGAGCCATGCTATTGTAATATGTGCTGAATGTGGTTTGGCATTGTTTTGCTGAAATAAACAAGGCCTTCAGTGAAAAGACGTCATTGGAAGGCAGCGACTGCTGCTCCAAAGTCTGTAACATCAATGGTGCTTTCACAGATGTGCATGTTAGTTATGCTGTGTGCACTAACGCCCCCCATGCCATCATGAATGCTGGCTTTTGAACTGTGAGCTGAAAACTAGCCTGATGATCCTCCTCCAAGTTCCAAAATGAATTTCAAACTCTGCCCCATCAGACCACAGGGCAGTTTGCCACTGCCTCAACTCATCTTGAGTTTGAGCCCAGAGAAGCTGGTGGCATGTTTGGATCTTGTTTAGGTTAGAGTTGTAACTTGTATGTGTGGATGCAGTGATGAACTGTGTTCACTGACATTGTCAGAGATGTTCCTGAGCCCATGTAGTGATTTTACTGCAGAATTGTGGCTGTTGTTAACGCAGCGTCTCCTGAGGGCCGCGGGATCACGGCCATTCAGTGCTGGTTTTCAGCCTTCTCTCTTGCTTGCAGAGATTTCTTCAGGTTTTCTGATCCCTTTGCTGATGTTATACCATAGGTGATGAAACCCCCCAAATCTTTGTTTTACGTTGAGTAATGTTATTCTTAAATTGTTAAACTATTTGCCACACACAGTGGTGAACCCACCCCAGTCTCAGCCTCTCTGGGATGCTCTGTAGCTGTGAGGTGTTTTTCCACTCTTTTGTTGCCCCCTGTCCCAACATCTTTACAACATGTTGCTGGTATCAAATTCTAAATATATAAAGATTAATTTGAACATTAGATATCTCTGTGCTGTTACCAAAATGAGTGTGGAGTAAAAAGGGGTTTCAAGATATTTCATTGTTTTTATTTACAGTTTAGTGTCCCAACCTTTTGGAATTGGTGTTGTATTTAACGTATTATTTTTCATAGAAACAGAATTGTTAAATGAGTTCCTTGTTTTTGTCAGAGAGCTGCATGTTAGGTTATGGCCTTATTGGGTGATTACTAAAGCCTTCAGAGAATGAACTTATTCTGCTGCACAAAATACCAAGTAATGGTTCACTGATTTTTATAGAAAATATCTTAATATGTCACAGGTTGGTTTTACCTTTGAGCAACTACAGCAGAAAAGTTGGAATCTTTGTTTTTTAAAACTTGTAAACTGTAAGAAAATAACTTTTTGTTGACGATCCTCCTCCCTCGACTCTGCAGGATGTCGTCCGCTCTCCACCGGCATGTCAGATGGACTGGTGGCCTTCACCCCCTGGCTCTGTTAGAGAGCAGAATCCCTGGCAGCCCATGAGGAAGCATCTTCCACCTGCAGGAGCCGGAGTTCTTGTCCTTGCTGCTGGGGGTGCAACAGGTTGGGGGTTTAGCAGTGTGCACTGGTCGATCGACCTGCCCAGGTGAGGCTCTGTTTGACTAGTAGACTGTACAGAGCTAGTTTCATAGTGAGATTTAATGATTTAAACAACTTTTTCCACATGTTTGATAGTTTAGACTGCTCATAATTTTAATATTTATTAATTGTAAACTACTTTACCTTTCTTATATATTTTACCTTCTCTGATTGAAGCCAAATTAAATTCATACTACTATAGAGTCCATTATTAATTGCTTTCCTTTAAAAACTTTGAGCTGTAGCACAGATCTTTATTCCAGAAAGTAGCAGTTTGAAACCCTTTGTGTCACAGCCACCCCAGTTAATAGACTCAGGTGTCTTCAACGTTTCAGTTAAATACATTTTCTTTCATTTTGGACTCTACAGATCTGTGTCCTCCCCTGTACATGGCCTGGATGTGGATTGGAAGAAAAAGGGGACTATGAAGGACTGGTGCTGGTGAACAGGACGGCGTCACAGCTTCTTGAGGAGGGGCTGGGTGCAGGACTCCTTTTTGAGGGGATTGAGATTGACTGTGCTCACGCCAAGCTGATACCACTGTTTTCCCACTCGTGATAGAGGACACCACTAAACCCCCCCCCCCCTTTTTGCTCCACTTATCCTGGATGTGTAACCTAAGAAGATGACCCTAATGCCAGCCCAGAAAGCCCAAAGGAGATGCACACCACAATTACTCAGGTTTACTTAGCTTTATTTATATAGCACATTTCATACACACAGGCAGTTAAATAGTTCTTTACACAGGCACTGAAAAACTAACAGCATTAAAACCTATGGAAGCACACTGCATTCACCAACGTCAGAAGGTTTTCTCATAATTATGACTTACTGTCTCATAATGACAAGACCTGGATCTCATTATTATGAGAGCTTTTCTTGTAATAATGAGATTAATGCAGAGGCTGGAATGCTAAAGAACCTCTCTGATAATCATGAGGTTCTAACAAGTTCTTTAGTATCAAAGTCATTCAGTGTTCGTTCTGACTGCATCCAATTTTGCATAGCAGAAATGATCTGTTAGTAATGAATTCAGCTTGCTTAATGTTCCAAAATATAAACAAACATAGGCTAGAAACAGGCAGAATTCAGCTTGCTTAATGTTCCAAAATGTAAACAAACATAGGCTAGAAACAGGCCTCAAAGTTGCTGCCTCCAGTGTCCGGAGCAGGAGTTGGAACGCTTCAAAACCTGTGAGAGAAACGCTGGGTTTTTAAGATGTCTTCAGTAGGCTGTTAATTCAGACATAGCAAAATGAACTGCTGAGAAGTAATTCGCTGTACTTGGTGTTCCAAAATGTAAACAACTATAGCGCCCCCACATTGTAACACACTGTGTCCATAGCAGCATTATGTAGCTTATAGTCCACTTGTGGTTTGTCAGAATGTATCTGTTGGCACCAGTGGTGACTATTAATGTTTAATGCTTTGCTTTAATTACGAGTGCCAAAGATCAGGATCTTGTAATAGGCTAGTTGATGTTTCTAGCTCCTACAGGCCTACATACTATGTACATAATGAATGAGCTTAAATATCACGTTTTCCAAAATGTTTTTTTACATAGTATTTTGGAAAATGTCAGATTAAACTTTAAAAGTTCAATCAGATCAACAGATCATACTTTTACAAGAAATAGCAAGTATAATGTTGCCATGGATACGAGTTACTGTGGGCTACAGCTTGGGCTCTGTCTTAAGCCTGTATTTGTTTACATTTTGGAAGACCAAGTGCACCAAATTAACCATTATCAGTTCATTTTGCTATGTGCCATTGGATGTACTGGCACAATTACATTAATACTTTAGAAGACTTGAAAACCAAAACAATGTTTCTCAAGCAGGTTCTGAAGCTTTCCAGCTTCCTGCTTCATCCACAGAGTGAGTTGCACTGTAGGCAGCAAATTTGAGGCCTGTTTTTAGCCTATATTTGTCCATGTTTTGAATCTCTAAAGCCCCTTTTCCACTGCCTGGTACCAGCTCAGCTTGACTCGACTCATTTGTTTTTCCATCCAGCAAGTGTCGGGATAGTACCTGGTACTATTTTTGGTACCACCTCCATCGAGGTTCCAAGCGAGCAGAGGGGATATCAAATGGTGACGTGTAAACACAGCAGACTAGTGATTGGTCAGAGAAATCACATCATCAACATGCAAAACGACCTGTAACAAAGACGGCACCGTTTTTTAAAAGCAACGTTATTTAACACTAACCTCTACTTTACTGTAGTTACTGTACTAACTAAAAACAGCCACATACCAAGAATCAATGACGGCGTACCTTCGATGCCCTCCACTGTTACTGTGTTGGTTGGTGATGATGCCATGGCAGTGTAACAATGCCCTCCACTGTTACTGTGTTGGTTGCCGATGATGCCATGGCAGTGTAACGTGTCGCTATGACAACCAGCTACACTGAGAGTGGACCATCTGCAGTGGAAAACCAAGTACCTGGAGCCAAAAGCGAGTCAATCTGGTACCAGGCTGTGGAAAAGGGGCTCAAGGATGCTGAATTAGCTCTTAACAGGTCACGTTGGCTTTGTACCGACACCTGAATTACTTTGATGCTAAAGAATCAGGTTCTGTGGTGTTCCAACTTTTGTATCATCTCATAATTGAATCTTAAAAGTTCTCAAAAGTACAAGGTCAGGATCTCGTAACTATGAGATAGTGAGTCATAATTACGAGTGAAGATTCTCCGATTTCCACCGCCCTTTGCTGAATGCAGTGCACTTCTGTAAAAAGCAGAACAAAAATCATTTAAGAGAAATAAAATTAAGTTTAAGCAATGGGCAATGCAAAAGTTCTGAAACATGATTATCTAGCAGTTAAAGTGCAGTTGTAAGTTGCCCTGAATGCACCAGCTGAAACAAAGGTGCAGCATAAAAACCAGTCAGTCAATCAAAGGCACAGGAAACCAGCCGAGTTTTCACTTTGGACTTTTTACTCTTTGTAATCAAAATATGTAATAGTAGAAGTGGCAATTTGAATCTTCAAAACGCTTTAGCTACATTTGAAACAACCAATGATTCAAAATGTTTTGAAATGCTGGCTGTGCATGGACCACTGGCAAAAAGCTACAGATGTGCCAGAAACATCGCAGTAGCCGTCACACGACCGATTCGAAACCTCGAGATCGGAAACTTTGAACAGCTTTGAAACCATTTGTTCTTGGGTGTCGAAATTGCTGCTTCTACAAAGAGAAAACAACTCTGTACTTAGTTATTTCACAGATGTACTGTCAGTTGCCAAATGTGCAATTCTGAACAAAATAAATCCCAGTTTTTGTTCAACAAACTTGTGTTTCATGTATCCAAACGTCTCAAGAAATGTCAAGCACAGACATAAAGTACATTAACAATTACCACATTTGGTCTGTTTAAAATGTTTAAATCTTTGAATTATTAATTGCACGTTTAACGTTTTCATGACGTAAGGTCTTTATCCTTCACATTTGCCTTCCCCTCTTTACACTGCTGCTAATTGGGCCCACAGTGCATTTCTGACTGAGACTTAATGACTGGCTAAATGCTTAATTAGTGCTCTGTAAATCAGGTGATGCCCCGGGCCGTCTTTAAAAGTGGACAAACACATGCATGTGTTAACAAGAAGAGTTTCTATACTAGTGGCCATAAGAGAAGTAAAGCAGGATCTGAGCTGTTTGAGGAGTAATGTACCACAGTTCAACTTATTTATATTTACTCTTTAAAAGTACCTACTTTACCATAATCAGCAGCCTCATCTATAGTCAGTAAAATTATTATTTTTTATTTCCTACAATGCCAATTATTTTACCCCCAAAAGACAGATACTGTACATTTCTTGTAGAAAATCTGCAAATGATGAGGGGAAAACACAGAATCTACCTTTAAATGTGTCATTTCAACTTTAACAAGTTTATTTCTGATAACAGACTAATATTTATGTAGTGCTATAGCTCATAGGGATTAATTGCATTTCTGTTCAGCTGTGTCTGTAATAAATTTTAATATTTTATACTTTTAAATGTATGATGTTTAACACCAAACTGACCTTTAGCTGGAGTTTAGCCGTTTTATATTATCTGCAAAATGTTACATGCTACTTCCACAGAAACTGGACATTTCTGTGATATAAAACACGTGCTTTTAGCTGAGCCATCAGTTAACCAGACGTGGTACATGCATGCAGGGTTGTGTTAAAATGACCTTTTGGGAAGACAGGGTTGATACAGGTTGATTGGTGGCTCGATCACTCCTTGCCGTTTTGCTGCTTCTTAGAACCACTCCACCTGCAGCACCAACCGTCTACATGCTCCATTTTCGTGATGTAGAGGAGAGGCTCAATGCTGCTGCTCAGGTCCATCATGGAGAACACACTGACGCCGATTTGACAATGTAAAGTCACAAATGAGTAGTAGGAAGCAAAGGGCATGAGAGCCACAGATGGCAGGTAGTTGACTACGATGATGGCCAGGATAATCAGCACCATCTTAAAGGCCTTCTTCTTCACAGGGTGCATTTCCTCCTTTCCCATCACAGAGCGGCGGAGGACCCAGATGATGGCGATGTTGCACAAGACCATGACTGCAAAGGCAAAGAGGATGACACAGCTGAAGACTTCGTTGACCGTTATGTATCCCAAGATGCATTCGGTGCCACCATAAGCCAGGACGAGACACCAGACCACGACTGAAATGCCAAGGCGGATCCTGTTGTCACGGATGTTGGTAAAAAGTAGTGGGTGTACCACGGCTATGTAACGGTCCAGACAGATGCACACCTTAAAAAGCAGACCAGAAGAAGGATCATGTTACAGTATGCTTTGATGCATTTTCCATTTTAATGGTTCATGCACCCTTTTTTTTTTTAAATACTCAGTGGCAGCAGCCATCTGGCCTTTATTTTTTATAATTACAGACAGCTATGCATTTGCTGTGTTGAGGGGGAAAAAAAAAAAAAGAGCTTAAAATTGTAATTCTGTATGTCTCGCTCACTGAACAATCCATGGAAGAGAAGCCCCTAACCCCGGTCATGTTAGGGGCTAAACTGGTCCAAGCCAAACAACAACAACAACAAAAAAAAGCTAAAAATGTGGTAAATGATCAAGATTAAAATGTATAAATATTTAAATCTGACTTGAAGTTTTTAAAATATCTGAGATTTATAGGTGTCTAGAAGCTGAAAAATTATGACAAGAGGCTATAAATATGAAATACATAGTGGCAATCGTTAATGCTTTTTCTCATTTTTAGAATAAAATGCACAGACTTGCAGCTTTTATCACTGCACAAACACAAAACTTACCAGAAAGAGCGGTGCTACATCCTTGACCCCGTATGCAAAACTCTGAAAATACCAAACACGACTGTCATCCAACAGCAGTCGGTTCACCATGTCTACAGGCGTCATCAGGCAGAAGTAAGCATCCAGGATTGCCAGGTTAAAGATGAAGATGTCAGAGCTGGATGCATCATTCTTTTTGCTGGCGATCTGCCAGATGACCAGGATGTTACAGGGAGTCCCCACAACCAGGTTTAGCACCTTGACTGCATAATAAAAGATGAAGCCATAAGGGGCCATGGCACACGCGGTGACCTCGTACCATAACGGAGGTCCACGGAGGTCATCGGGGCTGGTACTGTTCATGTAGAGTCCAGTGGCGGGGTTCATCGTGGTGTTGGACATTGTGACGAAGACGTTCTACAGCTGGAAAAAGAAGCTGTAGCACTATGTGAAAGAAAGCAGAATAAAGGAGTTAGTTTTATTAACCACATTTAATTTTTGTACATTTTGACCCCTAAAGAATGCCAGTCACAGAATTTCTCAGGTTTAAGGCACCAAAACTCATTTATTCTCCATCAGCATACAGAACACATAACCAGGCATCACATCAACTCATCTTACCTCAATGGGGTTCACGATGTCCTGCAGCCCTATTGTGCTTCACCACCTGCAGAACGTTCCTGCATGTAGCTCCAGATCATCAGGGCCAAGGGCTTAAAAACAAACTCTACAGGGACTCTTGCCATTGTTCGGATTGGGCCAGTGTGAGGGGACATCGGCTAGCCTTCCCTCACCGTGCTGTCCAAGATAAGCTGTGATTGGGCAGCAATTCCAAATAGAGTTGCTGAGACGTCTTCAGTGATTGGACAATCTAGATTTGTACTAAAGGGCGTGTTTAGGCTGAGTTAGCTAGGGTTGGGATTATGTCCACGTAGACCGAGTTATACATGGTGCTGGGACAAATATTATTGACTTTACTGCCATATTTTCAAGCGTTTGAGTAATTAGTGTATGAGGGGGACTGTCCTTGCCTTCAGGGCTCTCAATTGATGAAAAACATGCCTGCAGAACTTTTCTTGAAATTGCCATTTGAAAATCACTTTTTGTGCCAAGAATGCACAAACCAATATTCAGAGTTGTAGCATTATAAAAACTTTTGTCTTATAAATTCCCTAAGCCGCTGACCTGAGACTGCATTCACATTTTTCTCATTTATGATTCATGCTGGGGGGTAAAAAGCTAAGCTGATCCCAGCTGAACATTCATCCCACTGATGCAACTGTACACTATTCAGTAAACAGGTGATGCAAGGAAAGCATAAATGAGAAATCTCATGCAAGGTGTTACTAATGTGCCCAGACTGTGCAAAGTGTTGAGAAAGAAAAGCCTGCTGGGAATGCAAGCTTGCAAAGTCACGACAAACACCCACTTACATAAACTGTTGTGTGTTTGTCACATTTTTCATAATACACCCAACAATTTTGTGAACGACAGCTTACTTGTCATGGGGACTACTATTCAGTAAAGGACCTTTGTCAAATCTGATTTGACAGATCTGGCTTGAGATTAAGAAGCTAGGAGTCTGAAAGATGTGAGCAAGATGCTATCAAATAGCATTATGGGAAATGTAGGATCCACCTTAAGCAAAAGCAGAAAGAAAGCCAGAATGCTTTGCTTGGTTTAAATGTAAGCTAAGCAAAACCACACTATTAATATCTACTTGTAGAAAAGTTTGTTTCGATTACAATACTAATTTAATTCAACTAATTAAGAAAAAGTATGTTTCTCCACTGTTGTATCACGCCAATTCCGCATGTCAAAGGTGAAAGCTGAAACTCGATGCTGAGATGAGCTGTGCTGCCGTTTAGAGCAACTTCACGACGTGTGGTACAGAGAAATAAAAGGAAAGAGCTGGACTGTATTTTGGATGGTAGACGGAAATACATTATTTTAAATATCATGTTATCACTTTATATACAGTAGAATACAGTTAATTTTCAGAAATCACATCTGAGAATATTTAAAATAGAAAAGATACAGTGGTAAATGATTGTATTCAAACCTTATGTAATAAACATGTCTTCAGCAACCTACATTAGGAAAGATTAATACTAAATGCAATGATATATATATATTTGAATGTTTTATTTTATAAACCAGACAAACATTCCAGTTTAGCTTACAATTAGGAAGTGACAGCCAAATCCTTAACACCTCAGACAGTATCTGACACATGTATTTTTAAAACTGAGTAACTAAAACACATGAACAGATGTTGAGAAGATGAACCTAATTACTGATCAACTTAAGCACTGTTCTCCATGTTGCTCATATGGCTTTACACACAAGAATAACTGGCATTAGGACTATACAGACCTCTTTTAGCTAACAGAAATCAAATAAAACCTTTACATGACATTACACATTGTACTGCGTACAGTGTGTCCTTGACATAATATGCTTCTCAAAAGCCAATCAAGCTTCATTTCAGTGTATTAAATAAGTCCTAAAGATTTGTAAGTGCTGCAAATCATAATTTATGGTTATACATATACAAGATATTTAAGGAATAACTGTACCAAAATCCTTGTAACTACAATCACCAGCTTAAAAAGGCAGCACATTACGATTCTCATATAACCAGCACATATTTTACCTAAATATTTTTGTCCTCTCAAAAGAAAAGTTAAAGTATTAAAGACACACCAATGTATATATTATAAAAATACATACCAATACATCATTTTTGGATGCTGGGTTGTAACGTCCCTTTGTCATGATCCGAACCACGAAATCCTCCTCTAGCTCACCTGTCTCTTTTTCTACATGCTGTTTAAGACTAGAATATTTTTAAATCACACAAACCAGTGAGAAAGGATTTTACCAGGATTCACGTCATGATAAAAACAAGTGTCTAATATTTTTTACATCTTCTGTCAAAATATACTGTACAAACAAACAATCAATACACTGAATGACAGCTCTGTCACGTGCAGTCCAATCAGCATTTGCTTCAACAGCTACACTGCGTTTTACAGATTGGAATGGTACGCTTCGATGATTTGGCAAGTCGTTAAACTACTGTCAAGTCAATCCTACAAACAGACATAACACTCGAATTCATGAATTAATTTCTCATTTTAAAAATAAATAAATATCTTTCCTGACTGTGTAGCTCATAAAAAGCGTACAAGGAAGTAGAAACAGAGACATCATGCAATCAAAATGACACTTTTCAAAGAGGTTTGAAAACACGGAAGAGGATTAGGGCCACTACAACATTTATGACTTCTGACTCTTTGCTCTCAGAATTCTGACTCAGAATAAAATCTGAATTCTCAGAAAAGAGTCAGAATTAAAATAAATTTTGTTCAGTGGCCCCAACCCTAATCCGCATGGAAAAGAGCTTTCAAGTATTCAAGTACAGGCAATAAAATCAAAACGGATTGGTTAAAACTTGATAAAAACAAAATTTACTAAGCTGCATATTTCACCTTTTTTATGAATAGTAAATAAAATTTAGCTTACTAAAACAATACTGTTTAAAAATTCAAACATTCATGCGGCCGTCTGTGTAACGTGTACCAACTGCCTTAAGGCATGTTCACATTATAGAGGAAAAACAAGGGTCCTGCGCTACTTTCTTAGCTAACGCGACAAAGCTAACGTTGTTAGCAGTAGATCACTACATTTTAGAGGCTCAAACTGTGTTTTTCTAAGCAAGCCTGGTATCAACAGTGGTCTGCTGATAATTTGTCTGTCTTTATCATATTTTGATATGAAGATCATGTTATTGTACAGTTTGGGAAATTCAGAAATGTTGGTTACGTACTGTGACCTGAGATTCTCTGAGTATAGGCACAGCCAGGGCCAAACAGAACACAAGCAGGCAAACTAGTTTCACATCAGTTCAAGCAGTGGTCAGCGGTGACTGGCTGCATTGCACACAAGGTCGGTGCACATTCAAACTTTCGACACCCCCTCTCGCTCTGTGCATGTTTGCACAGCGCACCACATACACAGCAATGACAAGTTGTGGGCATAAGCTGTTTTTCCACGATAATGTGAACACGTCATTATAATACCTCCCCATCAGTCAACAACCAAAAACTGGAAGCATATCCTGTCAAAAACAACCAGTTCAGGTAACGGGAAACAAAAATGCTCGACTGAAAACAAACTAGACCTTTATACTGTAAAGATTTTAAATACTGAAAATCATTTAGTGCCCAAAAATGGAAAGCGCATGTTAGAAATAAGCTTATTTGTTTTTCATATAACTTCATCATCTATGTGCTGTGGCAGGAAGCCTTGAGGTGCACGACTGTGACCAGTTGTTGCTGGCTCCAATCCTCTGAGTCAGTAAAGTTAACTTTAAAACACTTCTCAGAATACCACGGAGCAGCGTCTTTTAACACCCAACTGCCCCAGTGCAGCTGCTCACTGGGAGACTAAAAACAAAGTGGCATTTTACTGGGGACCTCCCAGGTGGCACTGTGCACAGTGAAGCAGGAAATCCCTGATAAAACAGCAACAATAATTAACAACATACGTTTAAAAATTATTTTGTGGCACGCTCAAATTATCAGAAGAACCAAGTTTTCTGAACTCTATGCTTACAAGTAGTTTCCCTAGATAGATCGCCGATTTTTGGAAACATTTGACACTTATTCAAAGCAAAGTTAGCTCTTTCAAATATGTAGAAAATATAAATATGATTTCTGTCATTTCAAAATTAAACAGTCCAAAGAAAAAAAAGCTAAACCAGTTGACCAGCCAGAGTACCATTAGTCAACAGCAAACTATTTTTCAGTAGCATCTGGCCCTAAAGACAAACCAAGCCAACAGTCAGAATTTTGTTTTTTTCTAAAGTGTACCTTTTTTTTTTATAGGTTTGATTGAGCTGCACGGCGAGGTCAGTGAATCTCACGTGGAGGCGATTTTTCCATGCACACGAAAGCGGTAAAGACACGTATATTCGACATGACCCCAGTTAGTGAGAACATGCAGCTCCACAAGTCGATAAACCTCATCACTAGGGTTCTGCATGAGGGGGATGGGGGCGCAGGAGGAAACAAAAAGAGAAAGACAACAGAAGTAGTCATAATGAGAGCAAGTTGACATTCAAGAATTAACGGGTGCCATGACAGCTTATGCTAACCTCACACTCAGTAGTGGCTTGGTCAGTCCCTGTCTTTGTGGAAATATCTTAATGTCATTGTCCGTTTTGATTCGTTAGTTCAAACTTACCAGCAGCTTAAACGTCTGTGTCGAGGTTCCATTCTCATCGTAGGTGAATGAACCCAGCAGTGTTCCTTCGTCTGTGTCATGTTTCAGTCCCTAGGAAAAAGAAATTACAATAAAAGGCCCAAAGATTAGGAGAGCCTCTTAGAACTACACAATCTTTATTCACAATTAAGATGGGGCTCTTCGGTAGAGGGTGTGGAGCCTACTTAATAAAATGAAATGAAAAGGAACCAAGGCACTCGTCTTTAAAAAAAAAAGTTAAAATGTTTTTAATATACTGGCAAATTCTGTAAACAGAACATGAGTAAAAAGTAACTGACATTTCAGCATCTAGCCTTCTTCAGGAAGATTCAGAAAAAGCATGGTAAAGCAAAATTAATGCATCAAAGTTACTTCTTAAATCATATTCTGAACTTGCCAGTATAATAGACATTTTAACTTTGTAAAGATAAATTCCTTGGTTGCTTTTTCGATTTATTTACCAAGAAAAATTACACTATGGTTAATATTCAGAGTGTGAACCACTGTGTTTTTCCTCTGAGATTTAATCAGAGGGATATGACTTCTACAGTGCCTGCTGGGTAATGACCAACACAATTACAGCTTATAAACAAAATTCTAATGAATTAAATAAAAAAGAAGCCACATAAACAATGCTCAAAGTCTACAAACCTGTATCAATAATGGCTATTGATCTCTATTCAGCAGGCCCCAGGATATATTCTGAGAACGTTATATCCAAAATGTACAGACTGTCAGCCAACAGTGATAAGCACTTTTGCAAGTGTTTAACAAAGTGCTAAAATGTTAAAAGGCGTATTAAATGATATAGTCCTAGAAATAAAATCCATATCTGCAAATCCACAACCCGTGGCTGGACTGATACAAGCATGTCCTTTTAAAACTGCTATAATGTGATATCAGCATTAACCCAACTTTTCAGTGCATCTGTATATTAAACAGGGTCTATATACAAATTGTGTAGTAATGTGTTTACTAATAATGTATTGTTAAGAAAATCTGGAGCAGAGAACATATGAGGGAAGTGATCCAACACTTAAAAAACACCATGGAAAGGTCATGTGTCAGTGCTGCTCTGTACTGGGAACACTCACATAGACTTCAAAGTCTTTGGGTGCGGAGTCGATGTAGCCGGTGGGGGAGTTGTATCGCGGCAGGTGGTCCAGCGTCACATGGGTTATCCTTATGGGGTGAGAAAGAGAGATGACAAGAGTCCCCTCGACACCATGAAACGCCCAACATCTCCCTGGGAGCAGCACGGGGTAACCCTGGGAGGGAGGAGAGAGATGTAGTTAGTAACAGGGTTTTCAGATAAGTAATAATCCTAAGGAGGAAAGTGTGCTTTTCTAAATGGCCCAAGCTTCTTTTGGGACACCGTGACCAGTGCTGGACATTTTGGAGCAGTGTTTTAAACATTCTGACCAGCGGTTCTCATTAGAAAATGATGTTATGGCAACCAAGTGTTAGACGCCAACGTTAGTTTAGTCCAGGTATCTTTATGTAACGTCAACTGACTTGCTTCCCTGGCTAACGCAACCTACTTACACTGATTGACAGGTTATTCCTGTTGCCAGCTTATTTAGATTTGGAATTAAGTCCCCTTTTTACCCCTTTTTTTTTTTTTTTTTTTTACATTCATCTTGATAGGTCATCTTTTTAGGTTCATTCTGCTTCGGCACTCCACAAAAAGAAATAGGTGCTGCGACTAAGCCTTTCTGTGGTAGGGCAAACCCTGAGTAACACTGGTAGTACTGCTAATGTTTATCTGCCAGGAACGAAGAGACTGGGGAACAGAAAGTACTGATGTTATCAGACAGAAGAAAAGATACAAGGAAAACAAAGAGCGGGAGCTGATCGATATACCTGAATAACTGTGCGTGGGCTTTCAGATGGGTACCAAATGGGGAAACCAAACAGGGTCACACATGCTGAACGAATGCGAAACGTCTCTGAACACCGGGTACTGATCACACTGGCACCTACACACAAGGACACACAATGTAAAATAAGCAATAATAATAATTTGGAAGGTGAACAAATTGACAAATTGCTACTTTATTGCTTTTTAGTATTTCTGTTTTGTTTTCCCAGGTGGTTGATGTATTAAAAACCAAACAGTACACCGAGCTGATAAGTCTCTTGCACAAGAAGCCACAGTTACCTTGTTACATTAAACCTGTAATGCAGTACTGCTAGCTAAAGCCAACTGACAATGACACGGAGATGTTTCTGACCTTGAGTCTCCAGGGCAAAGTCGGGCATTCTGTCAGCCATGGGATGCCCACAGTCTGCGCAGCTTCCTTTGTCAACAAGCATGACTGCATCTCGCTCCTTGTCACATTCACACAAAGTTCATACTGTAAGAATTGATGTGCGCTGACACAGGCTAAAACATACAAACTAATTATTCAGAAGTTCAATCAACAACTAATGGGCACCACCATATGACACAGGAAATGAAACTCACAATAACAGACATATGTACTGTGATTATGCTTATTTGGGTTTTAGAGTCAGTACATGGTCATAAAATCCATCTATACCGTTTCTCCACCTACCTTGATGCGGTCAGTTAGCCATTTCTCCATTGCCTGTTCAAGCTCTGGGGTGAGATGGTTGTGGACAAGGGTGGTGCTTGTATCCGGACAGGGTGCTGGAGGCTGCATCTGCTGGATGGATGATAACTCCTGGGAGAGCTACAAAAGGCAGGGAGTCACATTAAAATCATGCACAGGAAACAGGTCAGGTGGGACCTGAGAGGGGATAGCTATGCACGTCTTGATCAGTGCTGTTACCCTGGCATTCTGGGTCTCCAAAGCTTGGATCCTGAGGCTGAGGCTTGCAGCAGAGTTGCGGCTGTCTGTCTGGTAATCAACCAGCTGCCTGCCCAGCCCAGTGACCTTCTGCTCCAGATGCAAGCGACTGTCCGACTCCACAACCTCGAGCTTGGCTTTCAGATCATGCATGTCCAGTTGTATTCGATTCTTCATCTGAGAAAGAAATATGTGGGAGTGTCAATGTAGGGTGGACATTAGAGGGAAAGGTCATCCCTTCTCATTTCTAAGCCAAGAATGTCATGATTAAATTTCAGATATACCTTTAACCACAGACCTTTGATGCACTTTTACAATTGATTAGTAGTTTCTTTTCTCAAAATCAATTTAATTGAGGTCATGGGGTATTTAGCTGTAACAAGCTGAAGAACTATTTAGTACTGGGGTAGCACTGCTTGTAATTACACAAGTGTCTGTCTATTACCAACTCCCCTCACAAGATGTAATTGGTGAATTTATACAAATTGTAAAGTTTCATAGAACAATATAACAAAAAAACCATATCGTGGAAAAATAATCTCCTGTTCCCTGCAGTTCTCCGTTACTGCCACCAGATGGTACTGTAGCACAGCTATTTTTTTGTTCTGTAACAATCCTGACCTCATCAACTATTCAACACTTAGACACAGAAAAGAAACAAGAGAAGGCAGAAGACAACAGAGAAAGACAAGAACAGAAAGAGGGCGAGAGAGAATCTTCAACCTGGGAAAGAAGTTGTTCTTGCTTCAGCTGCAGCTCCGCCTGCAACCAACCACACAGATACAGGTTACACTTGCAAAAACATATTCTAAATCAACATATGACCCTGTTTTGTTATAGTAAGCTGGCTTATATGTATATAAAAAAAAGTTTTCAATCTGGAAAAACACAAAGGAAAACTTGCAGATGATCTTATCTTACCAAAAGGTGCTGCATCTTCGCTTCTACAACAGTAGACACAACAGCTGAATTCTGGAAGGACAAAACGACTCTTAGTACAACTGAGATAACATTAAGACCCCAAATGTTCATGTCAAAAGTCACGTTTGACTTTTCAAAGCCCTTTAAGGATGGTTGAAACTTCCCAGGCCCCATTTGACCTAAAGAACCCTACCACTGCAGGTGCAGGATGCATGGTGTTGGGTTGAGGAGCAGGACTGACAGGGATAACAGGTGCACTCTCGCTTCTTGTCTGTGACAGGGTCTTTGTGACAGTCATGCGGGAGATGAAAGAGGCGAATACAGGAAGGAGGAACCAAATACCTATAGAAAACAGGAATGATAGCACCTTAAGGACAGCACTTAGAAACACTCTGCACAAAGTAAACATCACCCGACTCTATGAATCTCCTGAGATTAAAAGTGAAACTTTAATGACATTTACCTCATTCAGTCACAATGAGGTGTGGACATGTGAGGAAAAACTCAAGCTGAACACACACATTTTAGGGCAGACATTAACACCTCTCTTTACCAGTTTCCTAGGGGTAACACTAATCTAAAACATCTTCAGAAGAGTAGTGTGGTAGGAAATGGATTATCGCTTTACAAAAAGGTATAAAATACTTAAGAGCTATATCATTTAAACCGTCTCTTTGTGACAAAGAAACACTGAAAACTGGACTTGAATGATTAAGTCACATCCTAACAAGACACCCCACATGTCTAAGGGGAAGATGAAGCGTTTCCAAAATTTGCCAGATGACCAGCAATCTGTTAAATATGTCACTTACATAGAAGCAGAATGAGGAGGAGGAGAACCAGTAGACACGCCTTCTTCATGCGACCGCTCCATGGTGCTTTAGCTGAGGAGAAGAGAGCTGAAGTTGATTTGTAGGGATTTTGAACAGCTGAAGCAACATCACATGCAACCATTGTGAAACCACAAACCTGCTGGCATGTGAACACATAATGTACAAATTAACACTTTTATTAAAACAAGCACAGGAACATACTGTACACACGCTGATACATGTGCAAGTACACAAAGACACACTTCATCACACACACAAACACCATACCTAAAGCTGTGACATGAAATAGTTTTGCCTGAGCTGCGGCGACCATCAACGACACCCAGCCTGTACAAAACATATGAAACAATGAGATGATCACACTGGCACGCATTGACACAAACATGCAAAAACACACATATCCATACACCTCAGTGCTCACCCATCAGTGTAAAGAGGGCACTGCTAATCCGGCTTCTGTATCCAGAACTGGGAGCCCCACTGTTAGCACTCCTACTTGTACTGCTGGGGGTGACTGTGGGCTTCCTGTAAGTGCCCTCAGAGGACGAGTACCCTGAGCTGTCCACACCGCTCTGACTCAGCTCCTTGTGGTTGGGCCGGAGATGTAATCCTGGCGTGTTGAAACTGCACAGTCCAGAGTAAGGCCTCTTCTCCGGAGGTACTGGGTGGGTGCATGTAGGTGTCTCACTCCTGGCTGATGATGGAGCCAGGGCAGGCCGAGGGGTGGCCACGGTGGGGACATAGGGTACGGTCCTCACGACTGGCTGGGTCTGGCTGCTCGCAGGAGGACTCGGGACTGAGAGGCAGAGGGGTGACAAAGAGAAGCAAAAATGGAGAGCAACAGAATCAGAGTCTTTATCACCAGGTTACTGCACTGAGGTGTTTTCTGCATCTTGTTATAGAGACAAACATGGATGAATTGTTCAAAGTGATGGCACAGGGAAAGATCAGCTGTGAATAACTTTGTCTTCTTATACCCAAATGGTGTAAGAACACATTTCTGAAAGAACATGCATTCTACATGTATTAGACCTTTGACATAGTGCAACAAATGTTATTTGTGAATTAATTTCTCAACTATTTTTTGATTAAATTACAATTTAGTCCAGTTGTTTGACCACTTCAGTGGGGTCACCAAATATTCAGATGTCTGTAATGAGGACAGGACCATTATCTGCAGTGTAACATTATTTCTTACTGCTTCACTTTTTACTCTAATCTTTGCTTCTGTTCTTGTGAATTACTGTATAATTTTGCCTGTTCAAAGAAAAAAAAATCATTGGTTGAACATGTTACAATTTGGTTCTGAAAGAAATGAATGTATTTCTCTTGAGACAATGGACTGTTACTGTAATGTCTTGTTACCATCAGACTGGCCTGGGGTCATGGGTGGATCAGAGCTAGCATTGCTATTGGCTCTGATGGAGGTACGGGGGCCGGATTTGCGGGCCCCTGGCTTCTTCTTGAAAACCCTGAACACACACACACACACACACACACAAGGCGCACTGTTAATGATCTAACAAAGGCGTAAACTAGGGATGGCTCGATACCAGTTTTTCCCATCCGATACCGATACCACAAAATTTAGTATCTGCCGATACCGATTCCTGTCCGATACCAAGTAAATTGTTAATATATTTGTATAGATTTACTGCTTAACCAGGCCTTCTAAAAATCATGTATCAAAACTAAGAAAAAAATATTTTAATCCCCAAAAGGAAGAAAAGCCCACAACATAAATCAAGATATTGAACACTGCTGCTTTTTTATTAGGATTTTTAACCATGCAGCTTTTAGCAGCATTTTACAGGGCCACACCACTATTAAATAGTCAAAACAAAATTTAAATATTTATTATAAAATCCAACTAAAAAAAGTGCAGCC